AGATAAAAAAGGATGACGTTTGAGAAACGAGCCTAACCAATCTTCGCCACCTAACAATTTTGCTCTCCAAGAATCAGGCATGCTTTGTTACTTTTTATGGCGAACTGACATGCTAATTTTCGGGTCTCATATGGTATCAATCCATAATATACTAAGTGACATATAAATCCGAACACCCAGTTTAAATGGTTTTATTTTAATAAAATTTTGTATAAGTACTTAATGAAGCATAATAAGTAAATTATAAAAATTTCAAAATGATTGCACTGCTTTAAAGCCCTTTGACCTTTAATAATGTGTGGGTGCACCCTGATGTGCTACGCATTCTCCAACGCGCCTAGGCATGCTTCTGATCAGGTGGTCAATGTCCTCCTGTGGTATCTCATTCCAGGCAACCACCAACTCCTCTCGAAGTGCTTCTAGAGTCTGAGGAGGACGTTGCAAATTGAGCAATCTCCTACCCATCATATCCCACACGTGCTCAATTGGGGATAAGTCGGGAGATCTTGGTGGCCATGGTAACAATGTGACATCATTATGTTGAAAGAAGTCTATTGTGACTCTTGCAACATGTGGTCGGGCATTATCTTGTTGGAAAGTTGGATCTGCGAGGGTGTCAAGATACGGTAAAAGATGGGGTTCTAGAACTTCGTGGATATAACGCTACGCGTTCATGTTACCTCTGATGAAGATTAAAGGTGACCTGGAACCATAAGCTATAGCACCCCAAACCATAACTCCAACATGTCTTTCAACAAAAAACTGTGGATTCCTCCTTTCACCACGTCGCCTTCTAACCCTGGCACGACCATCGTGCATGCCTAAACAAAATCGAGACTCGTCACTAAAGACAATGCTGTTCCATTCCTGATCCCAGAGTGACCGTTGTCTGCACCACTCAAGGCGATTACGTCGGTGTTCTCGAGTTAAAGGGAGGACCCAGTGTGGCCGGTATGAGAACAAGCCAAAACTTCTCATTTGTCGGTAAACACTTCGCATGCCAATAGGTCTTCCGTGTTCTGTAAACCATTTATTTGCAATGGACCTGGTAGTGGAGAAACGGTCCCTTAAGGCCAATAATCTTAGGCGGCGATCTTCACGGTCTGTTGTTCTACGGCGGCGTCCAGTGCCCCTTGCTCTTTGCGTACGGCCTTCTCGAAGCCATGCCTGACAACACCTAACCACAGTGTCTACACTTCTTTGCACTTTAACTGCAATTGCCCGAAAAGAATGTCCAGCTTCCCGAAGTCCCACTATACGGCCGCTATCAAACTCACTAAGTTGACGAAATCGTACAGATCTCCGTACTCTAGGCATCGTAACCGATCGTAAAGGATGTCAAGAACCAAAATTCGCCAACGTTGATTCTTTACTGCGGCTGAAATATTCATTTTTAGAGCGTTAGTGAATTAAAAAAAAGCAGTATAAAAATCGGAATGTCAAACTGATAAGGCTGAAAATTTTTTCACTTGTTATTTACAGTAAGATAAATACATTCACCAACTTTTATTAAAATAAAACCATTTAAACTGGGTGTTCGGATTTATATGTCACTTAGTATAAATATCAGCAGCTTTCTTTAAATAACTTGCTAAAGCTTCTTCTTCTTCGTCAGTGAAAGCTTGCCTATTTTTAATGTATCCCACTGAGTCCAAAGTTAGTTCTGCTCTCGTCAAGCTATAGCGGATGGTTGGAACCGGCTATTTTGGAACCAACCCTCGTATATGAGTTAGTCGTCCCATCTAGAGATGATAATCTCTTAATTGATACTAAAAACGCAATGTATTGATTATATTCAAGGTCTTAAAGGTGATTGCATATAAACATTACCTTGACGTGGCGCCTATTTGAATGTTAAGTACGGATCTGTGCAGTACATATTTTTGTCGCTTCTGACATTCAACTTACTATCTGTTTGTTTTTTGGCAACCGTTACTGGAGTTTTATCTAAGCGGTGACTCAGGCAGCTCAGAATTGTTGAGTGTGGACTGCATTCGTTCATTAATTCTTCTGTCTTTAAAAAATGCAGTTAAACAGGTTTACTCAAAGGTACACAAAAGTCACGGTTGGTTTATGGATATTTACATAATATCGTGTCGAACGGCTTACTATTCAAAAGAAGGGCGTCAAATAGTTTCACCCTTGCATAACTTAAACGGATCAAGTTAGTCAAACAGGCTCATACAAATAAAAGTTGCATATTAACTATATCTTTTCGTACTATTGATACTCTTTAGGATCTGGATCCCTGACAATATAAACTCTCTTCCGTAAAAAAGTTTTGGATCCAGTTATGCTTTTACGCAAAAGTTATCTCTTGTGGACGGATGGCCCTACCCGTTCCTGCGAAAAATTCGTACGCTTGCATATGATTGCAATTGTTATGTACATCAGGCGTGGACAGTGTTGTCAGGTCTGGTGATATTTCACCAGATCTGGTGATCTTATGGATAATCTGTTGATTGGTGAAAAACTTTTTGAAAACTGGTAATTTCTGGTGATTCTTAAAATATCGTCTATTTTGAATAGTTTTAACAATCGTTCATCTACCAAGTACTCCGAAAATTACTAAATTTCCGAAGCGGTACCTCATTTCGCGACTTTGCCTGTTGTATCGTATGTATAAAATAAATTAATTTAGTAAGTACTGTAAACTGTATAGACTTTTTGGAATCAGAAATAGTTATGCAGACACGCTTACGAGTTTTGAAAAAATTTAAATATTTAAATGGATCGGTTGTATTTAGGATTATTACAAAACTGTTACATCAGTTAAGTATCTAGTTACATATTAAATACTTATACTAAGTGACATATAAATCCGAACACCCAGTTTAAATGGTTTTATTTTAATAAAAGTTGGTGAATCTTACTGTAAATAACAAGTGAAAAAATTTTCAGCCTTATCAGTTGGACATTCCGGTTTTTATACTGCTTTCTTTTAATTCACTAACGCCCTAAAAATGAATATTTCAGCCGCAGTAAAGAATCAACGTTGGCGGATTTTGGTTCTTGACATCCTTTACGGTCGGTTACGATGCCTAGAGTACGAAGACCTGTACGATTTCGTCAACTTAGTGAGTTTGATATGGGCCGTATAGTGGGACTTCGGGAAGCAGGACTTTCTTTTCGGGCAATTGCAGTTAGAGTGCAAAGAAGTGTAGACACTGTGGTTAGGTGTTGTCAGGCATGGCTTCGAGAAGGCCGTACGCAAAGAGCAAGGGGCACTGGACGCCGCCGTAGAACAACAGACCGTGAAGATCGCCGCCTAAGATTATTGGCCTTAAGGGACCGTTTCTACACTACCAGGTCCATTGCAAATGAATGGTTTGCAGAACACGGAAGACCTATTGGCATGCGAAGTGTTTACCGACGAATGAGAAGTTTTGGCTTGTTTTCATACCGGCCACACTGGGTCCTCCCTTTAACTCGAGAACACCGACGTAATCGCCTTGAGAGGTGCAGACAACGGTCACTCTGGGATCAGGAATGGAACAGTATTGTCTTTAGAGACGAGTCTCGATTTTGTTTAGGCATGCACGATGGTCGTGCCAGGGTTAGAAGGCGACGTGGTGAAAGGAGGAATCCACAGTTTTTTGTTGAAAGACATGTTCATCACACTGTTGGAGTTATGGTTTGGGGTGCTATAGCTTATGGTTCCAGGTCACCTTTAATTTTCATCAAAGGTAACATGAACGCGCAGCGTTATATCCACGAAGTTCTAGACCCCCATCTTTTACCCTATCTTGACACCCTGGCAGATCCAACTTTCCAACAAGATAATGCCCGACCACATGTTGCAAGAGTCACAATAGACTTCTTTCAACATAATGATGTCAGATTGTTACCATGGCCACCAAGATCTCCCGACTTATCCCCAATTGAGCACGTGTGGGATATGATGGGTAGGAGATTGCTCAATTTGCAACGTCCTCCTCAGACTCTAGAAGCACTTCGAGAGGAGTTGGTGGTTGCCTGGAATGAGATACCACAGGAGGACATTGACCACCTGATCAGAAGCATGCCTAGGCGCGTTGGAGAATGCGTAGCACATCAGGATGCATCCATACATTATTAAAGGTCAAAGGGCTTTAAAGCAGTGCAATCATTTTAAAATTTTTATCATTTACTTATTATGCTTCATTAAGTACCTATACAAAATTTTATTAAAATAAAACCATTTAAACTGGGTGTTCGGATTTATATGTCACTTAGTATACTTATTAATTCGCTTACAGTACTTCATAGAAGTATTATGTATTATAATCATCACTTTGGAAAACAAAAATTTGTGTTGTTAAGAAATATAGGATTTTTTCATAGTAGTTCTGATCTGGGTATTAAAAAGTAGTTCAAAACCATACAAAAATAACAGGAACAATGTATTCAGATTGTATTTTAGGTAGGTGCTAACTAACTAATTTACTACCATCGCTATAGCAGAAAATTTATAGTGAATTGTGACATTACAAATGCAATTACAATTTTTTTTCGTTTACAGCTAGTAGTATAGCTTAAAAAATTAACTTTTAAAATTTCTGGTGATCTTTTTTAAATGTGGTGATTTTTTATCCCAATTTTTCTTTTTTTGACCTGGCAACACTGAGCGTGAGGACCGCGAGGCGTATGGTCGGTCAATGTTTTAAGAATAAATGTACGGGGTAATCTATGATGAATGGAATATTTTATAAAAGGAGCGTAGAGTTACCATGGTTGGAGGCGTTTAAGTATACCACTGTTAAACCCTCGACCACGCCCCCACCTCTCAATTTTTCCCCACTTAATATTTTTTCAAAAATGATCAAGATCATCTGAAACGTCAAAAAACTAAGTTTGTGCGATTTTATTTTTTTTACTTTCTTACCCCTAGCTCCGCCTCCACTCGATTGATTTTCAAAAACCATATAGCTTTTTCATTTTTGGCATAGCAGTAGCCTTGTGTAAAAATTTCATCAAAATCCGACTAGTACTTTCAAAATTTTAGGGGGTCCAACGATTAGCGGACAGGCGACTGACGGACATGACATAGTTTTTCGCCATGTACAAGCCACGAAGTAAAATCACTATTCCTTGATATGGGAATTCGATAATATTACCTAACCGAAAACGCTGTACGTATTGTATCTCTACTTTCGCACTCGGATGATGTATAGTGAAAATCTATTTCAGGCGACGTGGTCTGATATTTAGCATGGCCGTTCCCTCTCTAAAATAAAACAAATTGGCACCGGGTGCAGCGTTCTAGAAGAAAACAGATTCTAATAATGTTCGATCGCTCTGTCGTTTTTTCAAGTACACTCTGATAGCGCTAAGTGCTCTTAGAGGGCTGCCAGATAATATCCGATAAAGGGGAAGGTTTGTTCAGTTTATCTCTGTTCTGGTTGTTTTAATATATGTGACGTCAGCGTGCTCGTTTTTAAACTAATATAAGTTGTCTTTAAAATGAACTGAAGTTAAGCAAAATAATGAACGAAACGTCTGCAATTAATGATATCCAGTTACTTAATATTTATTCTGAGACTGGTAGCCATGTGTCCATAAAACTCCTCAAACGACAAAAAACGTTTCCGTTTCCTGTTTAACAGTATCGCACTGAAAGACTTTCAACAAGTCTATGACAAAATTTTCGCTTTCTGAATGAAGAAGTCAAGGATTTGATGGACAGACTAATGACAAACAGACCGACAAAAATAAATGACGTAATTTTTTCTTATAGATCATGTAAAATAAGCAATATGTTTAGGTTTTCTATTTTTTGTTCATTTCACTAATTTTTGTTAATAGAAAATCTGAGTATTGTCGCCAAAAACTGTATGCTGCATGATTTCACCTGTTTCCAAATCTGAGATATATAATGAAAATAACAGGGGTCCTAATACAGATCCCTGTGGTACACCAGATCACATTTTGTACGGTAGAGTACTATTGATTTATATGAATAAAAGAAAGATGTTTTTCAGAAAATCCATAACAACTGCAATTAGACACAAGAAGTGAATTCTGTCAAATGCTTTAGTAAATTCCAAAAGTATGAGAGCTTCTGGTTTTTGTGTTAAGCGTCATTGTTATATTGTCTGTTAAATCACAGAGTGCCGAAGTTGCATTATGACTTTGTCGAAATCCAGATTGTTTAGATAGAATAATTTTGCAATACTTTCAAGAAAATAGGCAGTAAGCTGATCGGTCTCATTTGAACTCACATCTATGTAACATGACCTCAAGAACGTTTTTCCTTACCTTTATCAATTTTATTTTTAAGATGTCATCGATGTATTTTTATTGGATAATTTTGTTACAGTGTTAATTTTAAGAAGAACGAAAAGAATTACGATGCTTCAAACAGTGCCGTGCTTCGTATGCTCAAAGAAACAGAAAATGAACCAAAGACTCCTACAGAAGGTAAGCATTGTATGGCATTACTTATAGGTAGATATTTTTGTAGTATTTCAAAAAAGTGCAGTGTGCGGACAGATTTTTCAGTTCTTGAAGCTAACTGAAAATATCCCTCATCTAAGAAAGTTTTTCTTTATTAAGTATCAATGGTTTAAAAAGCACTTTTTCGGTCATGATAAGAGAATCATCAAGTATTAGTGAGCGTTCCATCGAAGAGTTGGAAAAGATTACTAAAAATCGTCTATATTCAAGCGCAAAAAGAGCCAAGGCACTTACAGTGAATCCTATCCAAAAAAAAATTTCAATCATTTCAATTTTTAACGACACAACTGTTGCACCAAATTGAAATTTAAATGCCTCGAAGATGCAAATTTCATTGTATAATCTATCCATGCGATTCAAGTACAACCCTTTCTATTTTTGACTAATCAGCTTGAAGTTTATTATCTCTTATTTGGAATTTAAAACTAAATTATTCACATGTTTCGAGTTTAAGTATCACCACGCGGGTCATTAAACTGTGTCGTGCCGTTTGAAAAAAAGCTGACCAAAAAATCAAACGACTAAGGGTTTTTCGGCCATGAGCTGAGAGTGCCTTGAACTTTCTTCAATTTTTTTTATTTTGGTACTTGATTATTTTTTAAAAGCTCATTTAGCTATTTTAACATCACTGTCAACCATTTTCAAATATTTAACACAAAACATATAAAAATAACAGTGATTCTCCAGTACACTCATATTGAAAACAACAGTTGAAGTATTTTTATAATATTGAGTATTGATTTGTTTCAATTGTCTTTGCACAATAGAGCAACATCTTAATTTTTATACGCTTTGTGTTGGTGTATTTTATTACAGATTTGAAGTATAAACTGTTGCGATAATGTGCTTATGAATAAATATTTAAAGTTAGATACCCAAATGAGGGTGAATAGAATTTGGGACACAAAAAAAATATTGATGAAAGTTGAAAATCCAATATTTAAATGCAAAAATCTCATGGATCAACTTGAAATTGTACCTGTTTAAAAGGCCGAAAACCGCGCTTAAATTCACTGATTTTTTTATAGTGTCATAACTTTAAGAAACTTTAAGGAATCTGCATACTCAATCTTAAATATCTGACTTCTGATTTTCAGTGTTTACAGATGCTAGCATCAATTAATAATAAGCTCCAATGGTTCCATATGAGTTAAAAATAGTGGGATAATGTGGCAATATTTATATAGGAAGTTGTAAAGCCTATAAATAGGGAGTTGGAATATGGTGTTTTATTTTATCTAATTTTAAACAATGTTTGGCACGAGGCGAGCGTGTTTGGTAATACCGCATAATCCAATAATTTGTCACTGCCATTCAAAAAAGAGTGTACGATTGTTACGTTATATTGAGGAAAACGCGACGATGGAAATTAACCTGAAAATGAACACTCTTTTATTAGCTGTACAAGGCGATTCAAGAACAGTAGCAGTATCTCTAAACAGAAAGTATATTTAAAAATAGCGTAAGCATTTCTTATAGGTATGGTTTGCTTATTTGAAAGTAGAACAAGAATGTTTTTGAGATAACATTACAGTGTGAATATGTTACTATTCGTATACATACTAAGTGACATATAAATCCGAACACCCAGTTTAAATGGTTTTATTTTAATAAAAGTTGGTGAATGTATTTATCTTACTGTAAATAACAAGTGAAAATATTTCCAGCCTTATCAGTTGGACATTCCGGTTTTTATACTGCTTTTTTTTTAATACACTAACGCTCTAAAAATGAATATTTCAGCCGCAGTAAAGAATCAACGTTGGCGGATTTTGGTTCTTGACATCCTTTACGATCGGTTACGATGCCTAGAGTACGGAGACCTGTACGATTTCGTCAACTTAGTGAGTTTGATAGGGGCTGTATAGTGGGACTTCGGGAAGCTGGACTTTCTTTTCGGGCAATTGCAGTTAGAGTGCAAAGAAGTGTAGGCACTGTGGTTAGGTGTTGTCAGGCATGGCTTCGAGAACGCCGTACGCAAAGAGCAAGGGGCACTGGACGCCGCCGTAGAACAACAGACCGTGAAGATCGCCGCCTAAGATTATTGGCCTTAAGGGACCGTTTCTCCACTACCAGGTCCATTGCAAATGAATGGTTTGCAGAACACGGAAGACCTATTGGCATGGGATGTGTTTACCGACGAATTAGAAGTTTTGGCTTGTTTTCATACCGGCCACACTGGGTCCTCTCTTTAACTCGAGAACACCGACGTAATCGCCTTTAGTGGTGCAGACAACGGTCACTATGGGATCAGGAATGGAACAGTATTGTCTTTAGTGACGAGTCTCGATTTTGTTTAGGCATGCACGATGGTCGTGCCAGGGTTAGAAGGCGACGTGGTGAAAGGAGGAATCCACAGTTTTTTGTTGAAAGACATGTTCATCACAGTGTTGGAGTTATGGTTTGGGGTGCCATAGCTTATGGTTCCAGGTCACCTTTAATCTTCATCAGAGGTAACATGAACGCGCAGCGTTATATCCACGAAGTTCTAGAACCCCATCTTTTACCCTATCTTGACACCCTGGCTGATCCAACTTGCCAACAAGATAATGCCCGACCACATGTTGCACGAGTCACAATAGACTTCTTTCAACGTAATGATGTCACATTGTTACCATGGCCACCAAGATCTCCCGACTTATCCCCAACTGAGCACGTGTGGGATATGATGGGTAGGAGATTGCTCAATTTGCAACGTCCTCCTCAGACTCTAGAAGCACTTCGAGAGGAGTTGGTGGTTGCCTGGAATGAGATACCACAGGAGGACATTGACCACCTGATTCTAAGCATTCCTAGGCGCGTTGGAGAATGCGTAGCACATCAGGGTGCATCCACACATTATTAAAGGTCAAAGGGCTTTAAAGCAGTGCAATCATTTTGAAATTTTTATCATTTACTTATTATGCTTCATTAAGTACTTATACAAAATTTTGTTAAAATAAAACCATTTAAACTGGGTGTTCGGATTTATATGTCACTTAGTATACTTTGTTTGAATGTCAATTCTCATCAGCCCCAGCATGTTATCAATATTTTTTATAATGAAATGCTAAAATTTTGCTCCAAATATCTTCTTCCAAGACAAAAACTTTTTGACGGAAAAAGGAATTAAAGTTAAATCCCTCACACAAAAAATCCAATATATGTCTGAAAAAGGAGAGTGATCTAAAAAACATGCTTTTTACTCAATAAGGTCAAAAAGTCCAAGTGTCTACGCGATTAGAGAAGTTTGAGCTACTATAATTTTTGGGTGTATACGAGGTCTGTTAATCAAGTGATGAGACTGATTTTTCATTTTTTACGCAAATTTTATATTTTTACCCTAAAAATAACTTCCTTCTGAAGCCACACAGCGCTGGAGACGCTTCACTCCTCATAGCAGTGCTGAAACTCCGATACTGGAATTCCCTTGAGGGAACGTCGGGAAGACGAAAAAGTCACAAGGACTCAAGTCAGACGAATAGGGAGGCCGAGGGCCACATGAATGTTTTTACTGGCCAAAAACTCGTTTATTGATGCAACATCGAGTTGTTATTGATTCCCCGATCATTCTGACTGTCAACGGACGGTCTGACTACAATAGATCCCGAATTCTGTCGATATTTTGATCGGTTATTGCAGATGAAGGCCTTCCGGCTCGCAGTTCATCTCCCTTCTAAAAATAACTTAAACCACCGAAAAACCTGTGGCCTTGATAAAACATTCCGTAGGCCTGTTTAGCAAGGGTTTCCGTGGCACTGCTAGAGACAATCAAATGACTCGGGTGAGTTCAAACTTATACTGAAGGCGGATCACATGTTCCCCTGTAGTCGCTCCAAGTGTTGCCACATCGAACGCTACGTCGCCAGTCTCATCACTTAATTTACTGGCCTCGTAGCTTATGCTGTTCGTACTACATGTAAATAACTCTGAATCATTACCTTTGCCGCCGTTTTTATAGGGAAAGAATGCAGTTTTTACAATTTCACATTTATTTCGTTTCTTAATTCTACCTTTCCTTCACCTGCTGTGACACACTTCAGTACTTTGTTTTGTTGTCTTCCAACCAAACCTACATTTGTGCCTTCAAAAATTATTTTCTGGTTCATGATACTTGTTCCACCATCTGAACTGTTCTCCGTAACTTATTTCTACACTTTTGCATATGTCTCCATTTTCATGTTATTTGTCGACATAATCAAATTACTATTACAGAATAATAGGTTCATTTGATAATTTATGACCTTCCAGTCAACTATAACATTTGTTTTGTATGTACGTATACACACCACATATTTTTAATGTTGCAACTATATTTTACGTATAAGGCAAATTATATTATTTATTAGACTGGTACATTTCTGAATGGAATTTGAGAACTTTATAACCCTAGAATATCTATCAATGAAATAGCGGACTGACATCCTGTCAAATCTGAGCGTTTATATGCAGGGTTACTTCGAAGTTGAGTCATTTATTTTTACAGTGAGTAGATTTGATCAAAAGAAATGTTTTTTTCCTTTAACATTTTTGTGGTAAAATTAAAGTAACAAAGTTATAGCCCTTTAGAAGTTTGAGTACCGCCCTGTCTCAATAATAATATTATGTGCTCATGTTTGGCAACAACGGATATAATCCGCCTTATCGGTTCATCGCATCGGAAACAAAAAAGCGAAAGAATTTGAAACGCTGATCACGAAGTTTTTATTCAGTCAATGTGTCATTCGGTAACGCGTGAGTGAATAGTGGTGTTTGCTGCGTGGCTCAAACGAAATAAAAAATGGCACATGTTTATGCGGATCGGTTTCCCAATCGAGTGCAACTAACCCCTTGTGCCTTTGTTAATGTAGTACAACGGGCTCGTGAATCAGGTGACTTAAGACCTCACAGGGAAGGGCATGCCGGTGCTCCAAGACCTCACGATCAAATACAGGTCCGCACTGAAATACTTGTCGGGATGATACTCTATAAAACAAGGTAAAATTTTATTTAATTTTTTTTTATTTATACACACATATTTTGGTTTATCTTCCTTCTACAATCATTATCTGAAAATTAATGACTCAACTTCGAAGTCACCCTGTATATGGAAAAACTGCAACAGTTATGTAGCTTCTGCAATTTTTACTTGGAAACCGAATCTATGCATAAATGAGAACAATCGAAACGTCGATAAACAAAAAATATTGACAACTGAAGTCCGGGAAAAAACATCTCAGTCATTCTCATGTCAAACAACACCTTGGATGTTATTTTTTTATTTAGCATGATTGCTACTATTACATTCTTCTAAAAAATACATACATAACATACAATTGTTAGAAAAAACAAAATTTGATTCTCTAAGAATTTCCTCTGTCCATAAAATATTCATTTAATTTTCTTTTAAACATCTTTAAATTAGAAGTAGACTTTATATCACTATTAGGTTTATTAATTTCAATTAATCCTTTCTGAAATATTGGTTTGCTAGTTATATTACTATTGCAATTTTGTAAATGAAAATCCATATTTCCTCTTATATAATAATTGGGTAATGATTATCCAATTCTATGTAGTGTTCTGAATGATGATTTTTTATTTTAAATGTAAAGATAAGAGCCAAATATGATGAACTTTTTTATATTCAACCACTGCAATTCTTGTAACATAGATTTTATTCTGGTGAATTTATCCTTATTCGGCATTATTCTCATAGCTTTATTTTGCAGGGCTAATTTTGAGAGTACAGCTTCATTGGCAGAGAACAAGATAGTTGAACAATACAGTAAATGCGGTAGAATAATTATTGTGTTATAAACTATTTTCTTGGAATATGTACCAAAACTATGAGAAGCCCTATACAACTAACTTGTTTTCTTTGGCAATTTTTGTGATCCTCAAACTTTTGTTTACTATCAGTATATATACGTAAATATTTAATTGATTCAGCATTTTCAATTATTCTACCATTTATCCTAACTGTGATAGTATTTTCATTTAGGTATTTCCCTATTAGCCTACATTTTGTTTTAGAAGTATTTAATTTCAGTCTATTCACATTTAACCAGTTTATGATTTTTGCCAAGTCAGCATTTTTAAAGCAGTGTCTATATTCGTCTGATATGTATATTGATGTATCATCTGCAAATATCTAAATTTTACAATAATCTAAAATATTACAAATGTCATTAATACGTATATGAAATAAATAGTGGTGGATCTAGTTTATTACCTTGTGGTATACCAACAGAAATATTTTTTCAGCTTGTACATAAAGTTTTGGTTCTTTGACATCTGTCAATTAAATAGTTTTGTAGAATTTTGAATACAGATCCTTTGAATCCGTAGTGATGCAATTTTGTAAGTAATTTATCCCTGTCAATAGAATCAAACGCCATTTTGAAGTTCATAGACACTGTTACTGTATGTTTCCTATTGTCCATACATCTCCTCCAGTCTTCTAAAACCATTTCTGTCGCCGTTTCAGTTTGGTGCTTCTTCCAGAATCCACCTTGAAATTTGGTTAAAATGTTATTTCCCTCAAAAAATTGTTCGTAAATAATTTCTTCAAATACTTTTTTAACATCTGGCAGAACATATATATGGCATATATCCCTCAATTTTAAAAAAGGTAATACAATACCGATACATAAATCAGGAACAAAAACAGGTGTTAACAACTATAGACCAATATCAATAATATCCAATGTACCAAAGGTTTTTGAAAAAGTTTTATCTACTAGAATGATTCGATACCTCACAAAATTCAAAATTTTAAGTGAAAATCAATATGGATTTACAGAAGGGAAGGCTACATCGGACGCAATAACTAAAATTGTAAATCAAATACATCAAAATATTGATAACAGAATCCCTTCAATCTGCATTTTTGTTGATTTAAAGAAAGCTTTCCACACAGTTAATCACAACTTATTATTAGAAGCATTGGAGAGAATTGGTTTCAGAGGAAACGCGTACTCACTGATCGAAAATTATTTGTCAAATCGCCCACAATCTGTGCAGATGTCAGGATCGTTTAGTAAAGAAATGTATATTAAGTGTGAACTGTCTTAGGTCCGCTGTTATTCAATATATATTTAAATGATATTTTCCAAATAAATTGTGTTGGCAAAATAACCAGTTTTGCAGATAATACTGCAATATTATATGAAGGCACTGACTGGTCTGATCTGAAAAATGTAATTTAAAATGATTTTATCAAAATTATTCGGTGGTTTAACAATAGAAAATTAAGCATTAACTATTCAAAAACATATTTTTTACCATTTGGATCTTATGCTAGACATCTGCCAAATTACACAAATTGCTCCTTCAACATTAATGCATGGGGAGCTGCATGTTCCTCACATATCTATAATTTAGACGTTTTTCAAAAAAGTATTCTAAAAATGATATTTAAAAAAACGAAACTTTATCCCACTGACAAATTATATACAGTACCATTCACTACCATAAATTTGTAAACACCGACCAAAAAATTAAACATAATCATTATACAAGGTACAAAATTCGTGGCACAGTAGTTCCTCAGCCGCATAAATCTATAATGCAGCGATCATATCTCTATTTAGCGCCTAAATTTCATGAAATTATACCTTAAAAGATTTGCGTTTCAGAAATTGTTTCAAAAGAAATTTAAAAAGGTGGCTACATTCTGTATCTAAGACTGAAATTCATAAACTCATAAATACGAACATCAAGTAAATACATAATCTACAGTAGCTAATGTTTGTCCTTTTTTGTCATTTGCATTCTACAGTTGCAACTTAAAATTATTGGTCCATGTACAGGCGATGCCTTCTATTGGGCCTGTTTTAATTTTATATTTATTTACTCATATTGTTTGTTATCTTTGAGTGAATAAATATTATTATTATTATTATTATTATTATTTATTGGCCGCATATTGGTGTACAACTCAAAATTTTTAACTATAGAAACAGGAGTTATTGTAGAACACTTCAGCTTTGTTGGAAATTCGCCATGTTTTAAACAGTAATTTATCAAGATTAATATTCTTGCTCCAATAATATCAAAACATTCATTAAGCACACTTTTAGACAAAATCTCATTCTTATTTTGATTTGATTTAATTTTTGATATAATCTGCTTGAGAAGATTAATGTTTATTGTTCTGAACTCCTGAATGATGCATTATAATCTGAACTAATGGGAGATTGGTTAGGATTATTAAGACACTATTATTTTATGTCATTTTTTACATCTAAAATCATTGCGGTAACATCTTTAATCAGTATACCTTGCAAACACTCAACACAACCCCTATACTAACAGAACCAGACTCCGGGATAATCACGACCCCGAATAGTGGCATCGCTGGACTGAGGCATGTGCATGCTCCCATAACGAAGCCGGCTCCTCCCAGCCCTCAATTGCCACCAGGGCAGAACATTTGTGATGACTGCGAAAGGCTGATTGTGTAAGTAATGTTGGAGAAACGTTTTCTTTTTGAAGGTTTGCAGGAACCAACTAGGAGCCATGGCAGTTGCAGAAATCGGATGCTCGAATGGAGTTAGGTCGGGCTGGCGAGGTGGCTGTAGGAGTCGTATACGTGGAGGAGTGAGAGAAACACAATGCTTAAGCTGACAGTTAACTATGTTAAAATTGAACCCTAAGTTTATTCGTTGATTAAAGTATCGTTCCACAAGTTGGCATCAAATATAAAGACAATAAAATAAATAATTGCTCGTTTTTGTAAATTGTAACTTTTGGCTCTTCCGTGTCAAAAGGTTGCCGACCTTGCTTTAGAGTCATCTTTGTAGGGGGCACAGAAAACTTATCTTATGGAAAATTATGTTTTGTGCTTTATTTGGATCCGCGAGAGTGCTATTATATTCTAGTGCCTGTATAAGCTAAAAACAGACCAAACATTATAGTTCCAACTACGCCTGTCGATTTTGTCCAAATTTTTTCTCACCACCCCTTATTAATTTGGAGTACCTACTTTTCAAAATGGACCAAAAATCATCAAAAATTCCTATCTATACATGTACGCATTCGAGAATCTGCTCATTCCTCCGCTTATCACCGACCACATCGCCTTGCCCCGCCTACTATCAAACTACACCGCCCACCAAAGACACTGACGCCTCGCATTTCTGTTTCCGCCAATCAGCTGTAAGCCGAAACTTTTACTCGAGCCAAAGCCACGCTATCGGCGGTCGTCGGACGGCCACGCCCACTTCCGAAGACCGATCAAATAGCGTAGCGTCGATTCGATCCGACAACGTCGCCGCATCGTCCGTCAGGTCGCAGCAACACGTCGCAACGTCTACGATAAAATCCGAAAATCTCACCACGTCGTTCTCGAACGCTTGCGAGACCTCGTCAGAACAGCAAGCGGACAGCAACGTCACAGAGGAGGATACGGTGACGATCTGCACGGACTGCGAACGGGTTATTGTGTAAGACGGTGTTGCTGTTGTGATGATGTTGTTGTAGACGTCGTTGTGGTCTGGCTGTCAGTCGTCGATGTTGGATGCCGTTACTTCCTAGATTTCCTAGTCGTGCGTTACGTATAGCATGATCTGGTTTTAACTTTTACACCTGTTTTATCGTACTTGTGCTTTTGTATGTCATCAAATATTTCTATGTTTTTGTTAATTAGTTTTCATTGGCTAATGTTTCAGCTTGAGTTTAGCCAGCCATATTCAGGCGTCCAAAAAGGATCTGTAAGAATTAAATTTACTTTGAAAAAAGTTATAGTGTTTTGTTGTGCTACTGTTTAGTAGATGGCGTTAGGATCTTCAATCCTTTTTTGGCTTCATCAATGTCTATTTTAATTGAGTATCTTCAATTAATCGTTAATCAATGTCTGCATGGCCGTACTTAGATAAGAGGGGATAAAGCATAAAAATCCAAGTCTGAGAAAAATGAGTTCAACATTCTGAATTGCCTTGGAACTAAATGAATGCGACAAAGAAAAACAGTGAATCAATACTGCAAAGTTGCATGACTTTATACATTTATTTGTCACGTTAATAAGTAATGGCGAACAATTTCAAAATAAGTTAAATCCTATATTCTATATATACTAAGTGACATATAAATCCGAACACCCAGTTTAAATGGTTTTATTTTAATAAAATTTTGTATAAGTACTTAATGAAGCAAAATAAGTAAATGATAAAAATTTCAAAATGATTGCACTGCTTTAAAGCCCCTTAATAATGTGTGGATGCACCCTGATGTGCTACGCATTCTCCAACGCGCCTAGGCATGCTTCTGATCAGGTGGTCAATGTCCTTCTGTGGTATCTCATTCCAGGCAACCACCAACCCCTCTCGAAGTGCTTCTAGAGTCTGAGGAGGACGTTGCAAATTGAGCAATCTCCTACCCATCATATCCCACACGTGCTCAATTGGGGATAAGTCGGGAGATCTTGGTGGTCATGGTAACAATGTGACATCATTATGTTGAAAGAAGTCTATTGTGACTCTTGCAACATGTGGTCGGGCATTATCTTGTTGGAAAGTTGGATCTGCCAGGGTGTCAAGATAGGGTAAAAGATGGGGTTCTAGAACTTCGTGTATATAACGCTGCGCGTTAATGTTACCTCTGATGAAGATTAACGGTGACCTGGAACCATAAGCTATAGCACCCCAAACCATAACCCCAACAGTGTTATGAACATGTCTTTCAACAAAAAACTGTGGATTCCTCCTTTCACCACGTCGCCTTCTAACCCTGGCACGACCATCGTGCATGCCTAAAGAAAATCGAGACTCGTCACTAAAGACCATACTGTTCCATTCCTGATCCCAGAGTGACCGTTGTCTGCACCACTCAAGGCGATTACGTCGGTGTTCTCGAGTTAAAGGGAGGACCCAGTGTGGCCGGTATGAAAACAAGCCAAAACTTCTCATTCGTCGGTAAACACTTCGCATGCCAATAGGTCTTCCGTGTTCTGCAAACCATTCATTTGCAATGGACCTGGTAGTGGAGAAACGGTCCCTTAAGGCCAATAATCTTAGGCGGCGATCTTCACGGTCTATTGTTCTACGGCAGCGTCCAGTGCCCCTTGCTCTTTGCGTACGGCCTTCTCGAAGCCATGCCTTACAACACCTAACCACAGTGTCTACACTTCTTTGCACTCTAACTGCAATTGCCCGAAAAGAAAGTCCAGCTTCCCGAAGTCCCACTATACGGCCCCTATCAAACTCACTAAGTTGACGAAATCGTACAGGTCTCCGTACTCTAGGCATCGTAACCGATCGTAAAGAATGTCAAGAACCAAAATCCGCCAACGTTGATTCTTTACTGCGGCTGAAATATTCATTTTTAGAGCGTTAGTGAATTAAAAAAAAGCAGTATAAAAACCGGAATGTCCAACTGATAAGGCTGAAAATTTGAAAACTTGTTATTTATAGTAAGATAAATACATTCACCAACTTTTATTAAAATAAAACCATTTAAACTGGGTGTTCGGATTTATATGTCACTTAGTATATTTAAATATGATTTCGGATCATTATTTCTGAGGCCTAAAATAAATGACATCCCCTCTGCAAGAATAAATTTACTGCCTTTTTCTGTAGTTTCCATAATCTATTTATATAAATTGTTCAAAGGAAAGGCTCAGTAATAAAGAATTTTTTTTTATATAAATCATTCATATTAAAATTCACATAGACGAAACAAAAAAAAACCTCTCAACATCTAACAATTCACTTTAATAATTATCTGATCACATTTAATAATTACATAATTATAAAAATAATTACATGAATAAAGTAAAAACAGCATGCTACCGTATAAGTTAAGCGAAGAATACTATTCAAAATTATTCCTTTGGAGCAAAAGTAATTATTTATGACAATAAACGCTTATTCATAAATACAGGGTGCGTCATCTATTACTTTTTTCTATTTGAAATATCAACACGCTTTTTACGAGGTGAAATCGAATTTTTTTATTGATGAATGAAGGTTGGTTTATGCCATTTATGTATGAAAAATAACATCAGTTATGTTCGTTTACAGGTCAACATCCGGACATCAAAATATTCAATGACTTTTCCCATAATAATCGGGTCTATGGCCGCAATATTGCGCTTTAGGTCTTGAATTGTCCGGAGACCATTCGCATAAACTTTTACTTTCAAAAATTCCCAAAGAAAATAGTCAAGAGGTGTTAAATCGCACGATCTCGGGGGCCAACCGACATCTGAATTTCGTAAAATTATGCGGTCTTGAAATTTCGTGTGCAATAAGGCAATTGTTTGGCGAGATGTGTGAGCCGTTGCTCCGACTTGATGAAAACAAAGATCGGCGGCACCAACACGATTCAATTGTGGCCACAAAATGTCTGTTAACATGCCGCGATAACGTTCCTCGTTGACGGTGATTGCCTTTTCTTAGGCATCTTCAAAGAAGAATGGTCCAACAATGCCACCAGCCCATAATCCGTACCAAACAGTCACTTTTTCAGGATGGAGAGGTTGTTCATGATATTGGTGTGGACTTGGAGCCCCCAAGAATCTGCAATTTTGCCTATTTACGTACCCAATGAGGTGAAAAGGAGCCTCATCAGAAAAGAGCACTTTGGCCGAAAATCCGTCTTCTTTTTCCAGTATCAAATTAACAAAAACACGCCGCTGTTGATGGACTGCCGGCTTCAATTCTTGTGTTAGTTGGATTTTGTATGGATGGATGTGTAAATCAATGTTCAAATTAAATAAAAACTAAATAAGTAAACAGCATAATAGGTTATAAAATGGCACTTATATCATACAAAGAATAAAAGCAATATAGTTTTAAGACTATTGGTTTTTTTGCTTTGATACATTCATCTACTATGTTTGTTAAATAACGTGGTCAGTCATATATCTGATGATTAAATGAGCTTTACTGCCTTTTACCTAAGTACAGCTGTGTACCTACTCAAGAGAGAGCTCAAAAATGGAGTCAAGACCTTATTGTCACTTGGAAGATATTATCATAACACCCTGACTCTTTTCAAAGTAGTTTTCTAAATTGATTTTTGTATTCTGCTGCTGTCTCATCCCTCTCAGATCCCTTTTTGGATGCCAGAATGCAATATACAGGGTGTCCCAGAAGTCGACGTCAAGCCGAAACCGGGTGATAGGCAAAGTCATAACAGCTATCAGAAAAATATTTAAGAAAATTTTATGTATGTGTTTTGAAAATTATAGGTCTTTGAAAAAAATATAGAAATTTCACACCCTACGGCAGTCTGTCAACTCCTGTTACTACAAATATTAACTTTTTTTGGATTTTATTTTTACAATGTAATGATGAATAATGCATCTTCAAACTGGTGTCTCAACCTTACTGCCAACTTTTCTCGTTCAGGAAAAATTGCCACTTATTTCCCAACCAAGTATTCCAAAGTAAAACTTTTCTCAACTTTAACTGGCTGTACTGGAAAAAAATGTACTACGAGAGTTTGGCAAGTAACCTTAAAAGTTGGCGCATTTAATAAGGATTCCAAAATGGTATAACACTTAGAAGATTACTCGTTAACTTATCCACAATTTTTATTTGAAGAAAAACTGATGAAAATTTTTCAAAATTTCCTAATTAAAGAGCGATTATGAAAACGCACAAGGACCCTTAAGGATAACTGTTTGCACAACAGTGGGCGTCAAAATGCTGCTGATACCACATACAGCGTGTTCAACCTCTCCTGCCCCGGGATTATGAGCCCCGAGTTGCTTTTTGTCGCACAATGTTAGAAAGACACAGGAAAGATCCACAGTTCTTTGAAAAAATTTTATTGTCGGATGAGACCACATTTAAGAAAGATGGGTACATGAACCTGCATAACTTACACGAGTGGCACGTAGCAAACCCACATTTGATGAGAGAAGATAATTCTCAATATCGCTTCAAGATAAACCATTGGACAGGAATTTTAAATGGTAAAATAATCGGTCCGTTTGAGTTCCCAGAAACTTTGACTGCTGAAGTTTATTTGGATTTTTTGAAAAATCATGTACAAAATTTATTGGTGGACGTGCCACTGATTATTTACAGGGACATGTGGTTTCAGCATGTGAGAGAGTATCTCTATCAAAACTTTCCAGGCAGATGGATAAGGCGGTCTGGTACAATACCGTGGCCAGCCCGATCACCTGATTTGAATCCTTTAGATTTTTTTACTGGGGAACTGGAAAAGAAAAAGTCTATTTCAAGCCGATTCAAAATGTAGCTGAGCTACGGCAAAGACTATTGGAAGCAGCTGAGTTTGTTAATAACCGTGGATTCGCTCGTTTAATAACCCGATTTTTTTTAAGAAGATGTCGAGCGTGTATTGCCGCTGAAGGAAAACAGTTTGAGCATTTTTGCTGTAAAGGTAAATCATCATCAGCAGCATTTTGATGCCCACTGTTGTTCAAACAGTTATCCTTAAGGGTCCTTGTGCGTTTTCCTAATCGCTGTTTAATTAGGAAATTTTGAAAAATTTTCATCAGTTTTCTTTTCAAACAAAAATTGTGCATAAGTTAACGAGTAATCTTCTAAGTGTTATACCATTTTGGAATCGTTATTAAATGCGCCAACTTTTAAGGTTACTTACCAAACTCTCGTAGTACATTTTTTTCCAGTACAGCCAGTTGAGCAAAGTTTTACTTTGGAATACTTGGTTGGGAAATAAGTGGCAATTTTTCCTGAACGAGAAAAGTTGGCAGTAAGGTTGAGACACCAGTTTGAAGATGCATTATTTGTCATTACATTGTAAAAATAAAATCCAAAAAAAATTAATATTTGTAGTAACAGGAGTTGACAGACTGCCGTAGGGTGTGAAATTTCTATATCTTCTTCAAAGACCTATAATTTTCCGAACACATACATAAAATTTTTTTAAATATTTTTCTGATAGCTGTTATGACTTTGCCTATCACCCGGTTTCGGCTTGACGTCGACTTCTGGGACACCCTGGTAAAATACGTTCATGAATGTTAGTATCCAACTTGCATTTGAAATCGGCAGCCAACACTATTAAATATAGACGCACTGTTTCTGGTTCAAAACGTGTTTCAACATTACTAGAAACTTTGATAATACAAAAGTACATGTACTAGACCGCTGCTTCGCATAAGTTTTTTTTCCTTGTGTGACCTCAATCAGTAAAGAAAAATCTGTTGAATATTAAAACCGGCAACATAAATGCGATGAAAATCATAGTTTAGTCATAGCCACCATTTTATAGCTTCCAGTTTAATTCGGAGCATAAAATGTTTCACTAGTAGGTATATTGCTTGTAGGCATAAATTATATAATACGAGTATATTTTTTTTTGTTTTCATTGTATGGCGATTGAAGCAAGTTATGCGTTACTATTCATCCCAGTTTTTTTATAGCGAAGCAGCCGCGCAGACAGAAGCATAAATTCCTCCTGCTAGGAGGAGCTTAAAGAATTTTTTTTAATCCAATTTTTGAACTGCTTAAACTTAATAGAAGTGGGAAAGACAGAAGTGTCATCAACCCTCCTCTGGAAGGCTGAGCACGGATAATGTAGGCAGCAGCACTCCGAATGTGTGAGCAGTACTTGAGGATATGTCTTGCCTGGACCTTGTACATGATACGGAGGTCAAGTACTTCTTATCCCTAAAGAAACATCCTAGCTTCTCCCAGGAGCTGCAGCTAATGACAAGATGTGTTCGTGATATATCAAGTCCTTGTTGATCTGAACCGGATGCGAGCTAGGACGCTTCTTGTTAATCAAGATACATTACTGTGTTTTGGATGCATTCCTGCATGTAGAGTGCTGTCGTCAGCAAAGCTGTGGATGGGATTGATCGTACAGGAAAGGAGATAAAGGAACATTACACTTTAGATCACTGTATCACTGTAAAAAATAAATAATGAAATACTTCCACGAAAGGTCTTCAATGCCTTATATTTATTTCACAATTTTTACATACTTATGATAGATTTTACAAAAAGTACGTAAATGTCAAATGCTGAAACAGCGGAGTTTTTGTAGTATTGATTGCTAACTAATTTGCATAATGCAGTCATTAATGAGACACTTAAATTTTCAGTGGCGTCTTTGTCAGGATAAAGGACAAGAATTTACACGTAGAGTGTTTCAAGTGTTCCACCTGTGGTACTTCACTGAAGAACGTCGGGTAAGTTATTTATACTAAGTGACATATAAATCCGAACACCCAGTTTAAATGGTTTTATTTTAATAAAATTTTGTTTAAGTACATGAAGCATAATAAGTAAATGATAAATATTTCACAATGATTGCACTGTTTTAAAGCCCTTTGACCTTTAATAATGTGTGGATGCACCCTGATGTGCTACGCATTCTCCAACGCGCCTAGGCATGTTTCTGATCAGGTGGTCAATGTCCTCCTGTGGTATCTCATTCCAGGCAACCACCAACTCCTCTCCAAGTGTTTCTAGAGTCTGAGGGGGACGTTGCAAATTGAGCAATCTCCTACCCATCATATCCCACACGTGCTCAATTGGGGATAAGTCGGGAGATCTTGGTGGCCATGGTAACAATGTGACATCATTATGTTGAAAGAAGTCTATTGTGAATCTTGCAACATGTGGTCGGGCATTATCTTGTTGGAAAGTTGGAGCTGCCAGGGTGTCAAGATAGTGTAAAAGATGGGGTTCTAGAACTTCGTGGATATAACGCTGCGCGTTCATGTTACCTCTGATGAAGATTAAAGGTGACCTGGAACCATAAGCTATAGCACCCCAAACCATCTCCAACAGTGTGATGAACATGTCTTTCAACAAAAAACTGTGGATTCCTCCTTTCACCACGTCGCCTTCTTACCCTGGCACGACCATTGTGCATGCCTAAACAAAATCGAGACTCGTCACTAAAGACAATACTGTTCCATTCCTGATCCCAGAGTGACCGTTGTCACTCAAGGCGATTACGTCGGTGTTCTCGAGTTAAAGGGAGGACGCAGTGTGGCCGGTATGAAAACAAGCCAAAACTTCTCATTCGTCGGTAAACACTTCGCATGCCAATAGGTCTTCCGTGTTCTGCAAACCATTCATTTGCAATGGACCTGATAGTGGAGAAACGGTCCCTTAAGGCCAATAATCTTAGGCGGCGGTCTTCACGGTCTGTTGTTCTACGGCGGCGTCCAGTGTCCCTTGCTCTTTGCGTACGGCCTTCTCGAAGGGGCTGACAACACCTAACCACAGTGTCTACACTTCTTTGCACTCTAACTGCAATTGCCCGAAAAGAAAGTCCAGCTTCTCGAAGTCCCACTATACGGCCCCTATCCAACTCACTAAGTTGACGAAATCGTACAGGTCTCCGTACTCTAGGCATCGTAACCAATCGTAAAGGATGTCAAGAACCAAAATCCGCCAACGTTGATTCTTTACTGCGGCTGAAATATTCAGTTTTAAAGCGTTAGTGAATTAAAAAAAAGCAGTATAAAAACCGGAATGTCCAACTGATAAGGCTGAAAATTTTTTCACTTGTTATTTACAGTAAGATAAATACATTCACCAACTTTTATTAAAATAAAACCATTTAAACTTGGTGTACGGATTTATATGTCACTTAGTATATTTCTATTGAATAAATACGAAAAATAGTTGATTATTACATAGACCCACAAAAAAAGTGATATTCCTGAGATCAGATTAACTTTTTTAGACGATTTTTAGTTCGGTGAATTCACATTCGGTGTTATTTTACGGGGTCCGAGGACAAAATTTGAATGTACTAGGGTGAAAATCGCTAAAAACTAAAAGAAAAAATTTTTTACGGACCATGGCTCCGTGGAATGTGACGAACATGCTTGATACATGTCCTGAAAGGAATTTGAAAGTAATATGAACTGGTATAACCCCACACCCGGGGTGAAATGTGTTGGAAAAACTCTCCCATGAAAACTAGACGATTTTATACTGTAACCTTTTCGCATCGAATAATAAAAATTAAAATCATCTAGTAGTATCTAGTTTGTGGTTTTTATTTTTCTGAAAATTTCCTCTATTTTACCATTTGAAATTGATGTGATTCTAAACTTAACAGTTTTAGTTTTTTATTTAAAGCGGTAGGTCTAGAACTAGAAATTCCCAGAAAGAAAATCGTTTTATTTTTCATCAGACAATTGGTCTAAATTTTTTCAGAGGCGAAGAAGACATTTTTTTTCACCTTTGAGTAAACAAGTTTAAACCGTCAAGTTGAGAATAACTTTTTTGGTAAATTTTATTCTTTCGGAAATTTCCAGTATTTTACCATTTGAAAGTAAATTGTGTGATTCAAGTATTTCAATTACATTAGTAACAATTTACTTTTAAATGGTAAAATAGAGGAGATTTTCAAAAGAATAAAAATCACCAAAAAAGTGATTTTCAGCTCAGCGGTATTATTTCCTCTTCTTTAAAGTGGTAGGTTTTGATCCCTAAATTCCGAGGTATGAAATTGTTTCATTTTTAATCAGATAATTGAAAGAATAACTTTTTTCACTCTTTCTCATATCGACTTATATTACTTTCAATTTTCACGTTGAATTCTTTTTAAGTATCAAGTATGTTCATCACATTCCACGTCAAAAAATGGATTATTTTTAATTTCTTACTCCTCTTAACCCCCGTACCTTCAAATTTTGACCACACATTCCCTGAGATAACACCGAGTTCGAATTCAGCGAGCCAAAAACATCTAAAAATTGGTGCTGATTTCAGACACCTGAAATACCAAAAACTGCTTCAATCATAGGTATCGATAATAATTAATGGTTATAAATCGATTTGATGTTAATACACACTTATCAAATTACTTGTGTTTCATGGACCTGAACATATTTTTTCAGATACTACAATATCAACAATAAATTATATTGTGACATCCACGCAAAATCAGCAGCACTTAGGAGCAACGCCAATCCAAATTTGGTACCAGTTACAGTACCACCGTAAGTATTTTTATTATCTACTTTTAGGCTGCGATTAACTTCTCCCCGAACTTAGTTGGATTATATCGATATTTTAACGGTTTTTTCCAAATGCATAGAACCCCAAAATCTAGCAAATCTTTAAGTTATTACACAAAAAAAGGGTAAAAACAATCTGGTGAAATATCTCATACAATTATTTTCATTTGCATGACAGATCTGACACCGTGAGAAATATGTTTCTTCCACATTAAGATGGCACATTAAACTTCAAATGATGTGTGGCTGTCAGCACGTCCCCAGAAAGCATTCAGTGTATTCAGTGAATGCTAATTGCAGAAAACTTGTTGAAATTTGGTGGTATTTTGCAGTAATTAGATTCCTGAAAATGGTTGAAATAATGCCTTTAGTGAAATAGTAACCTTACTATAATTATAAACGAGCTGGATTTATAAAAAAATGTTCCAGAGAAACGGCAATCCAAATGGTGGTGGAAGACTGGAGAAGAAGTATAGATGAGAAAGAATATATTGTAACAATATTTTTTGACTTCAAAAGGGCATTTGAGACTATAGATAGGGAAAAATTGTTAATGAAATTGAGTCACTATGGCTTTAAAGGATCAGTATTACACATTTTACAAAATTATTTAGTACCTAAATAGAGGTAAAAAAACTAAAGTTGTAAATATTATGTCAAGTGTTCAAAATATATCAGTAGGGGTGCCACAGGGGAGTATATTATGGCCGTTACTATTTATTGTTTATATAAATGATATCTCTGACATTTTAGAACACTGCAAAATTCAAATATTTGCGGACGATACACACACATATATATATATATATATATATATATATATATATATATATATATATATATATATAACAAAAAAATAGGAAAATAATGGGCAAAATCCGCAAAAAGGAGGAAAGTGGATTCGAGCAGAAAATAGGATAGGTAACCCGAGCGATACGTATTTCTGCTGGTTGGCTTCATCAGGCCCGAAATGAATGCACATATGCAACTACAAAAGTAGATACACATGCTCATACATCCGGATACGGGTGTAACCTGAGGAAATAAAGATGGATGGGAAGCTATTTTATACTACAATGTGTAGGTTGGCTCTTGTTGTGGACTTCGTGTGTGATTTTTTCCCATCCATCTTTATTTCCTCAGGTTACACCCGTATCCGGATGTATGAGCATGTGTATCTACTTTTGTAGTTGCATATGTGCATTCATTTAGGGCCTGATGAAGCCAACCAGCAGAAATACGTATCGCTCGGGTTACATATCCTATTTTCTGCTCGAATCCACTTTCCTCCTTTTTGCGGATTTTGCCCATTATTTTCCTATTTTTTTGTTGTATACATTTCTCCGCATTATTATTTTCTCTTTATATATATATATAAAAACAAGTAGGAAAATAATGGGCAAAATCCGCAAAAAGGAGGAAAGTGAATTCGAGCAGAAAATAGGATAGGTAACCCGAGCGATACGTATTTCTGCTGGTTGGCTTCATCAGGCCCGAAATGAATGCACATATGAAACTACCAAAGTAGATACACTTGCCCACACATCCGGATACGGGTGTAAGCTGAGGAAACGAAGTTGGAGGAAAAAAAAGACACACGAAGTCCACAACAAGAGCCAACCTACACATTGTAGTATAAAATGGCTATACGACCACGAATTTTCAAGAAGACGTCTAACCACCACCGCGCGGCCGGTTATATATATATATTTCGGGCCTGATGAAGCCAACCAGCAGAAATACGTATCGCTCGGGTTACCTATCCTATTTTCTGCTCGAATTCACTTTCCTCCTTTTTGCGGATTTTGCCCATTATTTTCCTACTTGTTATATACTTTTCTCCGCATGATCATATTCTCTCTCTCTCTCTATATATATATATAGTACATAAGCATTTGGACACTGCCTTAGAACTGTTAAATAGTGATATTAAAAAAAAATAAGAATTGGTTAAATGTCAATAAACTTAAACTAAACACTAATAAAACAAAATATATGTCACTAGGGAAACATTTAAGTGACAATACAATTAGGCTCATGATTAATAATGAAAAAATAGAAGGAGTCCAGTCATTGAAATAGCTTGGTATATATGTAGATAGTAAGCTACTGTTTCACTTACATTATGAATACATGATTTCAAAAATATCGAAAAAGATAAATTACTTTTATAGAGTTCCATATATTGTTCAACCATCTTGTTTACATATTTTCAAAATCATAAATTCTACAAAATAAAGCTATGAGAATCATTTTAAATAAAAACAAATATATTAGGATTAAATCTATGTTAGAAGAACTGCAGTGGTTGGATGTGAAAAGTTTCATATATTATTTAGTCCTCGTTTTCTTATTCGAATTAAAAAATCATTTATTACCACCACATTTAGAGAACTTCAGAAAATTAAATAGCCATTATCATAACTACGAAACTAGAGGCAGTATAGATTTTCATCTGCAAAATTGTTATAGTAGCACAACTAGTAAATCTATATTTCAAAAGGGAGTATTTGTATTTAATAAATTTTATAATCATATTAGACAAAGTTCGAATTTTAAAATGTTTAAGGTGAAATTAAAAAATCACTTTATGAATAATCAAAATACATAGTGACGTAATTTTAATTCTAATTTTTTTAGGCAAGAATGTAAAATTACAGAATATGGATTGAAGAAAAATATGTAACCGAATCATTATACAAAATAGACACTGTAACATTAATGCTAAATAAATCTTCAACAGAAACAAAAAAATCTTGGTACCTCCAAATGTATAACGAAGATTTTAATACGTTACTTAAAAAATATCGAAAAGTTACATATGCCTATCTCGTATAGCTCGAATAAACAACAAAATAGCCCACTAGCTTATTTGAATTTTTAGAAAATTCCGTGAAGTTTTAATATCGAAGAACGTCTACTATTGCTTTAACTGAGTGAGCTTTAAGGGAAGCACTCTTCCAAGCGTATTTATTCCAAACATTTGTCGCACTCTTCTTTGTATGCAAAATTTTTTGGTAAACGTATTTCCTAATTTCTGAATCTCATTTTATAGTCAATTAGTAGTTTCGCCGCAAAGATCTTGTTATTCCAGTAAAAACGTAGAATCTGACATTTTTCTTAAAATAAAGTAGTTTCAAGATATGACGAATTCAGGTTGTATAGTGGTTTTACAGCTGTAATAACACTTTTATTACTATTTTCAGAGGCGGTAAGGCTCCTGCTCACGCGATATCCTCAGCTCTATCTTCACATTCACTACCGACTCCTTCAGCGTTATCACCAAAGTTGAACAACAGCTTTGCCTCACCATACCAGGTATTTATTGAATCGTACTTTCCTTCTGTAACAATCCAATGGATGTTAATCACCGCTTTCATAATATTACGAAACAATCAATGTTCTGCCTGTCTCTCTGTAGCTGAACTGTATATCCAGTTGACAGACGTTTCACGGATGTATCACAGATGCAATTTCTAAACGACAAATTCGGAAGATCATGAGAACACATGACACTGAGATGACTGGTAGATAATGCGAAAAAAATAACACTAAAGCGTATCCAATAATACCAATTTTATGACAGAACTACATTTTTTCAAAAATGTCAACTGATGACCAGCACACTTGTATTATGCACTTTCATCCTGACTACAGACGATGAGAATTAGGAGACAACAAAATGTATAGAGCACAACATTGTCAAACGGTTGGATAATAATTGTGTAGGCTTGTTTGACTGGCTTGATCCATCTAATTCTTTTGTTAGAAATGACTTGAGCCAAACATAAGACTTTGTAAACCGTTGACAGCCTTGCGATGGAAGTGCATAGTGAACCTACTTGATGCAATTTTTTTTTCGACAAAATATATTTTCGCACATATGCATAGCTTAAAAGTCTGATTCCAAAAATTAAGAATATATCATACTTTGGCTTTGTAGGACTTCAGTTACTTCAACAACAATATTTTCGTAGTTTGGGCGTTGGAAATGACAGCTTATCATACAGGGTGGCCAATAGGTGGTGCCGTAGTAGTTATTTAAAGCACATGATGTGGCCAATTTTTTTTATTTAAATAATGAGTCGATTGTTGCATCGATTCGGAAGCTACGACAATATTTCGGTCTAAATATACTAAGTGACATATAAATCCGAACACCCAGTTTAAATGGTTTTATTTTAATAAAAGTTGGTGAATGTATTTATCTTACTGTAAATAACAAGTGAAAAAATTTTCATCCTTATCAGTTGGACATTCCGGTTTTTATACTGCTTTTTTTTAATTCACTAACGCTCTAAAAATGAATATTTCAGCCGCAGTAAAGAATCAACGTTGGCGGATTTTGGTCCTTGACATCCTTTACGATCGGTTACGATGTCTAGAGTACGGAGACCTGCACGATTTCGTCAACTTAGTGAGTTTGATAGGGGCCGTATAGTGGGACTTCGGGAAGCTGGACTTTCTTTTCGGGCAATTGCAGTTAGAGTGCAAAGAAGTCTAGACACTGTGGTTAGGTGTTGTCAGGCATGGCTTCGAGAAGGCCGTACGCAAAGAGCAAGGGGCACTGGACGCCGCCGTAGAACAACAGACCGTGAAGATCGCCGCCTAAGATTATTGGCCTTAAGGGACCGTTTCTCCACTACCAGGTCCATTGCAAATGAATGGTTTGCAGAACACGGAAGACCTATTGGCATGCGAAGTGTTTACCGACGAATGAGAAGTTTTGGCTTGTTTTCATACCGGCCACACTGGGTCCTCCCAGAGAACACCGACGTAATCGCCTTGAGTGGTGCAGACAACGGTCACTCTGGGATCAGGAATGGAACAGTATTGTCTTTAGTGACGAGTCTCGATTTTGTTTAGGCATGCACGATGGTCGTGCCCGGATTAGAAGGCGACGTGGTGAAAGGAGGAATCCACAGTTTTTTGTTGAAAGACATGTTCATCACACTGTTGGAGTTATGGTTTGGGGTGCTATAGCTTATGGTTCCGGGTCACCTTTAATCTTCATCAGAGGTAACATGAACGCGCGGTGTTATATCCACGAAGTTCTAGAAGCCCATCTTTTACCCTATCTTGACACCTTGGCAGATCCAACTTTCCAACAAGATAATGCCCGACCACATGTTGCAAGAGTCACAATAGACTTCTTTCAACATAATGATGTCAGATTGTTACCATGGCCACCAAGATCTCCCTACTTATCCCCAATTGGGCACGTGTGGGATATGATGGGTAGGAGATTGCTCAATTTGCAACGTCCTTCTCAGACTCTAGAAGCACTTCGAGAGGAGTTGGTGGTTGCCTGGAATGAGATACCACAGGAGGACATTGACCACCTGATCAGAAGCATGCCTAGGCGCGTTGGAGAATGCGTAGCACATCAGGGTGCATCCACACATTATTAAAGGTCAAAGGGCTTTAAAGCAGTGCAATCATTTTGAAATTTTTATCAATTACTTATTATGCTTCATTAAGTACTTATACAAAATTTTATTAAAATAAAACCATTTAAACTGGGTGTTTGGATTTATATGTCACTTAGTATAATTTTCCAGTGAGAGTGTCAAAAACTGTTAAGCTCATAATTCTCTTTTGATGCCTGACTGAATCGTATGATCTCCAGCATAGGACCCTAAAAGTGAATTAGCTAATGCACAAGTTAGACGTTTTACGAATAACTTCTGTTTTTATAAAGTTGAAAAAATCACCCGTAAAAGGTATATTTTATTATTTTTATTAAATCTGAAGTTATTTGTAAAATCAATAAGATAGCCCTAGCAGAGTAGCTTTTAGAGCTAGCAAGAGATTTCACGACTTGAGCTGGTTTGAACTGAATATCGAAATATAATTGTCAGTTCTTCTTTCACTTCAATGCCCTTAAGCCTTCATTTTTCATATGGCCAATTTTTTATATTTTAAGAACGGCATGATGGAATTTTGAATGTATGATTGCATCGGAATGATATGCTATAAAATTTTATTCTAGAGCAATATTAAGGTAATACTTCTGTACCATCTAGAGGGTGCAACATAGTGAAATGAAATGACTTCATTATTTCTGTTATTATAGGTATCTTTGGAAAACCTGCAACCAGCTCCCGAACATTTCATCCCTATGTCCCCCTAGAAATCAAAACTGAAGTGTCCCAGCGTTTTCCCAAAATATGTTCAAATCGGAGAGCGACCTTCTCGTTGGGCCACCCTGTATGTTAGGCAGCCCATAAACATGCGGTTTCGTTAAGAGGTCTGAATTGTAGACCACTGATACAATTTCGTTAGAGACAGGCAGAACTGTTGATGGCAAATTTAATAGCATCGCGCATGTGGACGTCGTCCTTAGAACATATTTACAATCCATGCATACAAGCAACATTAATTTATCAACCCTTCACGACTAAAGACACTTGACATCCTGCATCATTCGCATTCCGAGCACGCATACCTTAACAGTTGAATCGATGGTGTTTTAGAATCAGGAATTAAACGGAAACGCTGAGCAAGCCCTTTCACCATTACCAAATCCTAACAGCGAAGCTAACAATAACAATCTCTATAGCTCTGCCGCACCACTACCCTTCAGCAAATATTTGAACAAGGTAAGTTTCATCCTAACATACTATTATTCTATCCTATTTACTAAGATTGATTAACTATTCCACCAGAAGGTATTCAAACCAACTGAAAGCCATGCCTGCGCTGAAGGAAGTAATTATGGATACAACTAAACTGGTTATATCAAATTCGTCTCTCACAATTGAAACTTAATCGTCAGCCGTTCCTGCAATAATTGTAGGATGCCATTATGGCCTCCTTGGTTTTCATAGTATTTCCTCTCCTTCAAAAAAGACTGGGATATTTCTAGATTTCTACTGTTCGGTGTCATGTTTTCTTTTTGAATTGTAAGAAATTTCAGGCTGATATACTAAGTGACATATAAATCCGAACACCCAGTTTAAATGGTTTTATTTTAATAAAAGTTGGTGAATGTATTTACCTTACTGTAAATAACAAGCCTTATCAGTTAGACATTTCAGTTTTTATACTGCTTCTTTTTAATTCACTAACGCTCTAAAAATGAATATTTCAGTCGCAGTAAAGAATCAACGTTGGCGGATATTGGTTCTTGACATCCTTTACGATCGGTTACGATGCCTAGATTACGGAGACCTGTACGATTTCGTCAACTTAGTGAGTTTGATAGGGGCCGTATAGTGGGACTCTTGCAATATGTGGTCGGGCATTATCTTGTTGGAAAGTTGGATCTGCCAGGGTGTCAAGATAGGGTAAAAGATGGGGTTCTAGAACTTCGTGGATATAACGCTGCGCGTTCATGTTGCCTCTGATGAAGATTAAAGGTGACCTGGAACCATAAGCTATAGCACCTCAAACCATAACTCCAACAGTGTGATGAACATGTCTTTCAACAAAAAACTGTGGATTCCTCCTTTCACCACGTCGCCTTCTAACCCTGGCATGACCATCGTGCATGCCTAAACAAAATCGAGACTCATCACTAAAGACAATACTGTTCCATTCCTGATCCCAGAGAGACCGTTGTCTGCACCACTCAAGGCGATTACGTCGGTGTTCTCGAGTTAAAGGGAGGACTCAGTGTGGCCGGTATGAAAACAAGCCAAAACTTCTCATTCGTCGGTGAACACTTCGCATGCCAATAGGTCTTCCGTGTTCTGCAAACCATTCATTTGCAATGGACCTGGTAGTGGAGAAACGGTCCCTTAAGGCCAATAATCTTAGGCAGCGATCTTCACGGTCTGTTGTTCTACGGCGGCGTCCAGTGCTCCTTGCTCTTTACGTACGGCCTTCTCGAAGCCATGCTTGACAACACCTAACCACAGTGTCTACACTTCTTTGCACTCTAACTGCAATTGCCCGAAAGAAAGTCCAGCTTCCCGAAGTCCCACTATACGGCCCCTATCAAACTCACTAAGTTGACGAAATCGTACAGGTCTCCGTACTCTAGGCATCGTAACCGATCGTAAAGGATGTCAAGAACCAAAATCCTCCAACGTTGATTCTTTACTGCGGCTGAAATATTCATTTTTAGAGCGTTAGTGAATTAAAAAAAAGCAGTATAAAAACCGGAATGTCCAACTGATAAGGCTGAAAATGTTTTCACTTGTTATTTACAGTAAGATAGGTAAATACATTCACCAACTTTTATTAAAATAAAACCATTTAAACTGGGTGTTCGGATTTATATGTCACTTAGTATAGAAAGAATGACAGAAAATAGAACAGTACGAATAGCAAGTGACAAATCACCAAATGGAAGAAGATCAATTGAGGCTGAAAACCGAAGTAAAACAGGCATGAGCCTATTAATAGAGTAGGAAGAAGAAGAAGAAGATGTATTTAATCGACATACTATACAAATTTGAAGGGATCAATAAAAATAAAATCACGTAGCAGTAGCAAAGCAGTCTCTTCTTTCCACTCGCCATATCTACACGAAGCAAAATTGTAACCCCTCTTTGGGATACTTACCCCCAACGCATTTTTCCTTCTTTAATGTGAGCGTTTTGTCGGGTAGAGCCCTAAAATACAGGCCTGTCTGATCGGCATTATAGACGTCGCTCGGTGAATATCCCTCAATCAAAGAGCGACATTTTTCCAAAAACAATAAAACATCTTCAGCATCAACCGAAGCTCCTTCTACGGAAGTCGCGTTAAAACTTGTTTTGTGGCGGATTCTAAATTTATTGAGCCAACCAGAAGAAGCACTGAATGCAGAATGTCCCAGAGAATCGGCTATTTCTTCTGCTTTGCACCGTTTTAGCGGACCAAAAAAAAATTAGGTATTTGCGTTTTTGTCACGACAAAAATATTGATAATCTCACTCTTTTTATCTATTTCAGATTTAATATGTAAAGAAAAGTAACGCTAACATACGAAAATACCTTGTCTATGAAAATAATATGCATCCATAACTGTCTTGTTATGATGACTTGCTATAAACCAATCTGTCAATTTTGGTACCATAACCGGTCAAAAATGTTCCTTTTCATTAAAATTGCTGTTTGACATGCATTTCTTTTGAAGGAGTTCTTTATGTTTAATTATATCTGCAGCTAGTGTTTTTTCAATATTAAAATGCTTGTATAAGTTCCTTACACGTAGCTTCTTCTTATTGTGAACTTGAACAATAACAATTTTTTTTCTGAGCATGAGAATTTTTACACTCTCTTTACAGCGCAATCGCAGAGGAGGACATTTAGAATATGGGCAACCACTTGCACCCAACTGCTCTGCTGCAAATTTTATATTATTATAAATTATGTGTGACTATGTCAAAAAAAGAAATTTAGCTAGAAGAGAAGAAGATGCATTTGATCGATATACTTGACATATTGAAAATTGATGCAGGAGTAGTAGAGCAGTCTCTTTTTTAATTGACCCTATTTTCTCAGTGCACCTTTGATTGTTTGAACCTAATTTTAATATAAACTACAAACGTTCAATTCTCACAAGTTTACCTTTGTTATTCTTTATCAATAATTAAAAAATGTCAAAATCTGTTGATTTTCGATCCTACTTATAAAGGCTAAAACTTGTACCAGTAATCCTGTATAGTTTGGAACTTGAGATCTAGCTCGCAGATTGGATAAGGCTTTAAAGTTGTTCTTCATCTACAACGGATTGTCACTAGTTTCTAAAATATCATATCAATTACTTCCACAGACATCGAACTTGTCAGGGCCTAGACCATTCTCAAGTGTGAGTGCACCGCTGTCACCGCACAACACATTACCCAGGTCAACGGGCCCCATTTCTCCGGTAGCACAAGTGCCTCCGCCTTCCTACAACACGCCCATCCACAACACGCCTTCTTACAGCCCGGTATCTTCAACTGGTAAGCTATCTATACTAATTAAATGTCAAATAAAAAATAGCATTAGGACATTCCAGTTCAACATTGTCGTGGAGTATGAGCACTCAACATTGTCAAGGAACAGATTAGCCTAAACACTATGAACTATGATGTTGAGTCTCTCAAAAAATGATGGATGGAGATGTTATATTATTATTGAATTGCGAACCTACTATTGTCTCACTAGCACAACGAAATATGCAAAAATTATCGTCACGTCTTTTTTTCTTAAAAGTAGCGTTTTATATTGTCAATAACTGGATATAAGCACAACTTTCAAGCAGTCCATTGACATTATATCAATTGAGACAACTTGCATCAAGTTTGTTTTACAAGTGATATTTGGATGATCCCTCTATAGGCGGGGCGCCGCTACGTTTTTTAGTACAATAAATAGCCTGCGTTTTCGAGTAATTAATTTTGATTAGAAAACCGGTCTGCCCAATCCAATACCTCATCCACCGCACTTTGTAACCTGTCGTGAACCAGATTTCCGGTACGCGGTTGGGCCATCAGTGCAGTATCATCAGCATATAGATAGACTTCACAGTCGCTAGAGCAAGGGACACCATGTATGAACATTGAGTAAAGGATTGGCCCTAGAACCGAACCCTGAGGGACGCAGGCTCTGATGGGCCGTACTGTCGACAAGAAATTATTAATTTTGATCCGAAATTTCCTACCTTCAAGGAAGGATTTCAAAAGTTTTAGGAGCCAAAATGGAAAGCCCTTTTGAATTAGTTTATAGAGCAGGCCCTTGTGCCACACCTTGTCAAATGCCTTTGAGACATCCAGAAGCAAGACGCCAGTACTTTCGATAAGGATGAAGCCCCTGGTTACCCGCTCTACAAGCCTAACCGCCTATAACTCCGTTCTATGCTCAGACCGAAATCCAAATTGCACGTCAGGAATCACATGGTGATCTGACGAGAAATTCGCAAGGTGCCGTAGAATCACCTTTTCAGCGAGCTTAGATGGATCAGACAGCAGGCTGATGGGATGATAGTCCTGGGGAAATATCGAACCCACCTTCTTTGGAATCATTATAGCTTCCGCAGTCTTCCACGCCGATGGAAAGTACTGGGTCCTTAGCATGGCATTGATAATAACCACGAGATAAGTCAAGGATATCCGTGAAAGCAGCTTCATCGCCTTCTTAGTGAATTGATCCTCCGCAGGCGCTTTACGCACCTTGAGGTCTTTAATATGAACTTGAAGCTGTGCAATGCCGCTGATGTGCTGTGCAACTCTTCAGCGGAAGAATCTTCCGAAAGAGAATCTTCTGAGGAAGAATCACTAATGGCGGCGCCGGGATCACTGACCCCGTTGGCCCTAAAATATCTCCTGACGGATCTTATAATTTGTTGCTCCTCGTCCAGATCATTATCAAGACCATAGTTGGTAGAGAACTGTCGCTCCATACTCGTAGCATCAGCGTCCTGAAGACTATGCCCCCAGCACCGTGGATGTGCGGGAGTTATTCTCGCTTTCCGTTTCTGAGCGACTTCGCCACCTTCCACAGAGGAGTACTTGAGTCAAGCATCCCCGCCAGAAAATCGTTTCGTTGCTCATTGCGGAATTCATGGAGAGCATTTCTTACTTCATGAACAAGATTCGTCGCTCTGCGAATCTCATCAGGATGAATTTGGATGGTATTTCGCAGTTCTTTGCTATGCTCCATTAAATACAGCTAGTGGTACCATTAACATAAAATGTTCCCTGTATTGTTGAACTGGATATGTTCTTTGTTATCTATTCATAAATGTTATGAGTACCTATTTGTCTATTAGCGATATTCACAGTGCTATTGAACGTCCTTCAATAATGTCATTTGTAACTCAAAAACTTCTGAATATCTTGTTTCTTAAAGACAATACAGGACGCTTCAAAAAATAACTGCAATATTTCTGTGGTAGGAGCTTTTGTCGAGAATAACACAGAAAGGTCCTATGGTATTTCCTCTAAAATACCCTCCTATTTTTAAACGGCCTATTTTTCTATCAATGCAGTGGGTCATGTTCAATAGCACCTGGATATTTGCGATACTACTTACTATACAAAAACAGAAGACTAGAATATAATATATACCGCTTATTCTCGCGTATTCAACTGAAATGTCAGTTAAACTTTGTTGTGAATTGATTTGATAAAATTGTTCCCCAGGCCGATTTTCAACTATGAAAACAGGGGGTGGCCTCTTTAAAGGTACATTTGTTGTTTAACAAACAGAACATTATTTTGAGAAAAACCGCTTCTTTTGCACACAGCTAATACATACTTGAGTTTTAGTTGATAAAATAGTATAACAGGCCAACTTCGACACATTGTAAACCTAATCCTTATATCTTTTAGCCAATTTCTATTCTGTCATAGCTTTTCTTCCACCATAGAGAAGTTGAAAGGCATGCATGGTAGATTAAGAACAAAATCAAGTTTGATGATAATGTGAATATTCAGTAGGTTAGTAGATATACTAAGTGACATATAAATCCGAACACCCAGTTTAAATGGTTTTATTTTAATAAAATTTTGTATAAGTACTTAATGAAGCATAATAAGTAAATGATAAAAATTTCAAAATGATTGCACTGCTTTAAAGCCCTTTGACCTTTAATAATGTGTGGATGCACCCTGATGTGCTACGCATTCTCCAACGCGCCTAGGCATGCTTCTGATCAGGTGGTCAATGTCCTCTTGTGGATATAACGCTACGCGTTCATGTTACCTCTGATGAAGATTAAAGGTGACCTGGAACCATAAGCTATAGCACCCCAAACCATAACTCCAACAGTGTGATGAACATGTCTTTCAACAAAAAACTGTGGATTCCTCCTTTCACCACGTCGCCTTCTAACCCTGGCACGACCATCGTGCATGCCTAAACAAAATCGAGACTCGTCACTAAAGACAATACTGTTCCATTCCTGATCCCAGAGTGACCGTTGTCTGCACCACTCATGGCGATTACGTCGGTGTTCTCGAGTTAAAGGGAGGACCCAGTGTGGCCGGTATGAAAACAAGCCAAAACTTCTCATTCGTCGGTGAACACGTCGCATGCCTATAGGTCTTCCGTGTTCTGCAAACCATTCATTTGCAATGGACCTGGTAGTGGAGAAACGGTCGCTCAAGGCCAATAATCTTAGGCGGCGATCTTCACGGTATGTTGTTCTACGGCGGCGTCCAGTGCCCCTTGCTCTTTGCGTACGGCCTTCTCGAAGCCATGCCTGACAACACCTAACCACAGTGTCTACACTTCTTTGCACTCTAAGTGCAATTGCCCGAAGTCCCACTATACGGCCCCTATCAAACTCACTAAGTTGACGAAATCGTACAGGTCTCCGTACTCTAGGCATCGTAACCCATCGTAAAGGATGTCAAGAACCAAAATCCGCCAACGTTGATTCTTTACTGCGGCTGACATATTCATCTTTAGAGCGTTAGTGAATTAAAAAAAAAGCAGTAGAAAAACCGGAATGTCCAACTGATAAGGCTGAAAAATTTTTCACTTGTTATTTACAGTAAGATAAATACATTCACCAACTTTTATTAAAATAAAACCATTTAAACTGGGTGTTCGGATTTCTATGTCACTTAGTATATATAGTAATGAGTAGGAAATATTTTACCAACGAATAACGGGCACTGACTGTTTAAAACTAAAGAATAATATACGTAAAAGTTATATGGTTTTCGAATTATTAGAATTTTAGGTCACCCCACATCCTGCAATGAATAAGCTGATCACTTCAGCTTAGATCCGTCGAATAAAATATTCTGTTGAGCCAGATATTTATGTTTTTTTATATTTAACTTACAGCAAGGAAAATATCGGTTGAGAAATTAAAAATTTAGAGCCTGAAAATAGCTTCTTGACCATACAAGAAACGACATATTTCATTGAATACGTCGTTGTACCGGAAGTTTGAATTTAAGATTAATCCCCTTTACTTGAAAATTACACAAGCTTATTAAGCACATTATAGGGTGTTCATTTGAAAATCTCCCTGTATATATTTTTCTGAACAAGTCGAGATGTCCCATGAAATCGAAGGTAAAAGAGGTAGTTCACTCTCTTTCTGTATGAAATGTACTTGCAACTTGCAACCCTAGTTTCACAAAAATTCTGATAGACTAGGACTGACCCTAGTTTTTTCTAGTACATTGTGTCGTTGAAATTTAGACGCCACCACATGTCAATACTTATTGATTTATTTAAAAGCGTCTTGCTACTTGATGGTCGTATTTGAATTCACATATGAAATTAAAATGCAATCAGCTTCTTTCATGGTTTTTCTCATTAACCATTTCTTCATCTTCTTTCAGATCGGTCCTTTAATACCAAACCACGCCCATTTTCCCTTGTTGTAGAGTAAACTATTAAGGCATTTAGTTGAATGGCTAACCGCTTACATTATTTTCAACACACAACACATCACATATCAGCATTCTGCCTCAACTAATACCAACATATTTTATTGATATCAGGAGTAGCTAAGGATATTGGATAAGATATTACACAACAATTACAAAAAAATCTGGTATTGACTAAAGCGTGCAGTACTAGAGTGTCATGTTGAGAAAAGTGCTTCTTATCCCTAAACAAATGGCGTTGCTTTGAATTCCTGTATGTAGAGTGCTGTCATCAGGAAAGCTGTGGATTGGATTGATCGTGTAGGTAAGGATACGTTGATATGTATCCCTGGGGAACACCCGCATTGACGTTGTAGGATGAAGAGGAGAAGCCGTCATTTACGACGATTCCATTAAATACAATTGTAATTTATTTTAAGAGTCCTAATTACGTGTGTTAAACAAAAAGTAAAGCCATTGAGTCTGAGTTAAAGGAGAAGAAATATCTTTCTCACCATTGCATTGTTATGAGATTCTCATCCATGGGAGCTGGATATCAATACTGTTAAAAAAAATTGTTTGCATGCATTGTGCAGATCGAACTTAGATGCAGTAAAAAGTCTCACATGTTGGCAATAGCAGGTTTCTCAAACTTATTTTTGACGGTGATTTGTACATATACATAAACAGGGTGGCCCATCCATGCGTGGACGGAATATTACTCATAAACAAATACATCTTGAGAAAATCTATTTATGGCATGTTATACACGACATTTGAGGGCACATTTCTAAAATATTGGCAATTTTACAGGGTCTCCTATTTTTGACCTACGTATCAAAGTTGTGATTTTTTAAATGGAATGCCTCAAATTTTATTGCATATTTGGATAAACCAATTCAAAAGAAGAAGATTGATATATCATCCTATGGGGTTTTGGTAATTAGCTACTGAGATGTAAGGAGTTTTGTCCAGAAAAACCGTCCACTTTGGCAACCCCTGAATCCGCAATTTTGAAATTTGGAGTGCTGAATTTTGTATCAAGGAAAAACTTACACACCTCAGCTTTTATCTTATTTGTTACTTTTTCGAATTTTCGTTTTTGCTCATACAGGGTGGTCAAAAACGCGAAACTTGCACAAATATACAAGGTGATGCATTTGAGATTTTTGATAAAAAGTACAATTTGCCTTTTTGAGCAACCTGTATGAGCAAAAACTAAAATTCTAGAAAGTAACAGATAATATAAAAGCTGAGGTGTGTAAGTTTTTTTTTGATAAAAAATTCAGCACTCCAAATTTCAAAATAGCGGACTGAAGGGCTGCCAAAGTGGGGGGTTTTTCTAGATAAAACACCTTATATCTCAGTAGCTAATTACCAAAACCCCGTAGTATGTTATATCAATGTTCTTCTTTCGAATTGGTTTATACAAATATGCAATAAAATTTGAGGCATTCCATTTGAAAAATCACAGCTTTGGTATGTAGGTCGAAATTGGGACACCCTGTATAATTGCCAATATTTTATAAATGTGCCCTCAGAAGTCATGTGTAACACACCATAAATAGATTTTTCCAAAATATATTTTTTATGACAAATATTCCGTCCACACGTGCATGGGCCACCCTGTATATTTGAATGTATATGCATTAAAGATTGTTTCAGTGTAAGCTTTACTGTACGTATATACGACATTTTTCAAGCACGCAACCAAAGCACTCAAAATCTTCATTTTTAATCCAATATCCTACCTACTTCACCACGCAAGACCATTTTTTTCTAGCATCAACCGAATAGCAAGGTTATACTATTTTATAATATTTTTAGGTACCGCTTACTAACGCCGATTTTTTCTTTTTTTCTCGCCTGGTTCCTCGTGAACCTTCCCACCGTTCCTTGTTTGTTTTTCTTTTTCTTTCTAACCCCTTGTGATTGTGTTTGTGCTTTCGTGTGATCAAAGAGCGTAGCGCTCCTAGTATTATCTGGCCCCCACCCCTGGAGGAACCCGATATCCCTACTGCCTGTCCTCTATTTTACCCCCCACCTTCGAAGGTCGAAAATCAGATACTGAAAAAGCGATACGAGAACTACGAATCGGAGAGCATCATCAGCGAGTTGGACTGCCTGGAAGTGGAGAAGATAAACGCAATGGCGGAATTCCTAAATCCTTCGCTGGATATAATCATGGAGCGCAAGAGTGCTACCGAAGTCGTGGAAACCCTCACTGAAACGTTGGAAACTCAAAAACTTGTTGAAAAGATTGTGCAAAGTAGACCTGAGTATATGCCACCAACCATGGAGCTTCCAAAACCTCCTGCCACTAAAGAAGGAGTCAAAGAGCAATGTTGTCCATTATCATTGCCAGATAGCATATGCTGCCGAAAAAAAGATAGTTATGACTTGAAACGACCAACTCATTTTAGTCCCAATACTGTTGAGTGTGAATTGAAAAGCAGATTAGACAATCCAGTTCCTCAAAAGTGGGAGTCTCCGCTAACCCAAGCTTTCAGAACAATGTCACCGGATCGTGACACATTTGCTCAGATCCCATCAAAGCATTCTTTTACACCTCTAGCATCAGCTCTTACTATTGCGCCTTCGCAACCTTTCACCCCAAGTATGACTCACGATGAACCTGTACCTCTGCCTGAAGAAACTGTTCCTTACTTCCCACCAGAGCGACCTGTGATTCCTGCAAAAGAGGAAGAACCTCAACCATCAAAGGAAAAAGAGGTTGTAATAGAATGCAGACCTAGTTGTAAACGCGAAAAATCTATAAGTAAATTTGTAAAGGCTCTTGAGTCAGCTCCTGACAAACCACAACCTTTAGGTGGAGTAGCTGTCCTCCCTAAACTAAGAACGCAACAATCTGAGAAGCAGAAGCCTCCGGCCGAGAAGCCTGTGGAAAAACCGCCGGAGAAGCCAAAATGTAGTTTCAAGAAAAAGAATGATCCTATGGCAAAGTACTTTGAAGATTTACCAACACCTCAAGAAAAGCTGTCCTTATCTGCTGCCTTGACCATCGCATCTGACCGACCGTACTCGCCCCTAATTGTTGAAAGCGTTGGTGTGGAGCTACATCAAAACATAGGACTCGCTGCTGAAGGTTCACAAAAAGAGGTCAAGAAAGAAAAACAACAGATTGATCGATCTTTACTAACAAAACCGCTCAAACCTCATTTACCTGAAGCATTCAAAAGCAATATGAAGGATCCCAAGCCGCCTGGATACTATCACCCATCCGCACTACAAGCCATGATTGATGAAGGTGAAAAGCAAGTTGGTAATGGCACTTCTGATCATTCTGGAAATCCCGGCAATCCCGAAAACCCAAGTAATGTTCCGAATCCAGGAAACCAAGACAACTCCGTTTCTGTCTCATATAGTAGAGCTGAGGAATGTCGGATGGAAGAACATACAGAAGCTACTGACACAAGCCAAACAACAAAAGTTGAAAGACAGATGATCCAAAATCCGCACTTCACTGAAATAATCACAGAAGAACAAAGATCGCTATCGCCGAGTATGGCTCCAATGTTCAGTGGATTTACTTGCTCCTTCCAAAACAAAGGCGAGCACTCTCATTTCTCTGTGGAAGTATCTACTACGCCTACGATGTTGACCCAAGTTCCATCTGCTTCGTCAGTCATCCGAACAATCGAAAGTCAACCTGGTTATATCGAAACCCAGACTGTTACCGAAGAGCGACATGAAAAACAGCAATCCAGCAAAAAGCTTGAAGAAGCAAAGGAGGAAGTTAAGGCTGAGGTGATCGTGAAGCAAGCTGAGGAAGTGATTTTGAAGAAAGCTGAACCTCCTGTGAAGCTACACAGCCGCGAGACAGTACCTGCTTACCAAATACATCTCCAGGAAGAGGTTGAGGCTGATTTGCAATTCATGGAGAAGATTGAGAAAGCTGAGAAACGGTTGGAACAGCGCAAGCAACAAGAGATGAGTCAACGAGGTACTCAGCAAGTTATCAAAAAGCCCGTCATTACCGTTCAACCGGAGGATGCACCTAGGCACGAACACAGATCATTTAAACCTGTGGTTGAGGACAAACCACCTGGTCAAACGTTTTCACCAAGACCTACGTCTTGCAGCCCAAGTAGGGTGAACAAGCCTGCACCTATCTTGCCTTACTATCAAGCAAACTTGGTACCTCAGCACATGCCTGCAGCGTCAAGCAACTTGTTGGATCCTACCAGTCCTGCTGTATCTAGATCGCCCAGTCCATGTCCTGGTAAAAGTCCGGCACCAGGAGCAGGAGGTAGAGATGCGAGCCGCAGTCCATCTCCCTTTCCAGGTGGTGGAAAAGCTGGAAGTAATATCAGACCAGTATCTCCAGCTCAAGGACCGCCAGAGAACCCACTGAAATCGAAAGAACCATTACCAGTTCCAGAAGACGCCAAGAAGTATCACGCAAGAGAAAGCTTAGCCTCTTTCATTCCTGAATATAAGAGCAGAAGAGATGTCATCGAGAGCACTCAAGGTATGGACTTTTACAGGAAACCCGAAGAAAGTGATTATCCGCCGCAAATGTATACATCCACCGTCCAAACGCAGAATTTTCCTGTTATGCAAGAAAGCTTCAAACATGAACAAATGACGTCAGAGAAACAAGCTTCTACCGCTCAACAGCAAATGTACGAAAAGAAAATGATGGATCTGCAGGAAGCACAGCGGGCTCAGAGATATGTAGCAGAGACTTCTCAAGGTACTGTTGCGACATCTGTCGACGAACAGCGCAAACAAGCGCACATGGAGGAAGTTAGAAAATCACAGAGTGAAAGTGTAGAGAGAACGCCAGACGGAGCTCAGATACAGAGAAGAAGAGTTGTGACGGAGGAATTTGAGCACACACAGAAAGAAACAAATATACAAATTGAGAAACACGTCACAAGAAGTGGGTTCCAAAAAGTAAACGTGCCAGACATTGAGTATCCGTCAAGTGTTGGGGGGATGCATTACACTGATCCACATCCGATGAGCGGAGGGAGACAGCAATCACAGTCTACGCAATCGTGTTCCCAAAAGTCATGTTCAGGCGCGTCAGCATCCTGCCAACAAGGAGGCACATGTCAATCATTCGGCGGTACGTACCAAGGAACGTGTACACCAGGTTCCGCTTACCAAGGCGTCTGTCAAACAACTGGTTCCGCCTACCAAGGATCAAGCATCGCCTCTCAAGGCGCGTGTCGATTCGGCTCCTCCCAGTCTCACGTCGCCGCCCAGACCACGATCCAACCCACAGCGAATATCCCCGTCCCCGAGCCTTCCCCGGAGCCAGCTCTCCCTTCAGCGATCAAAAAACCCTCGCCGCCGCGTTCCTCCTTCAAACCCCCTAAATCAGCCCCTGGTGTTGTCTCATCCCGCGCCGATTCAGGTGCTGGTACCGGCAGGCAAGCGGGCGGAGTCAGCGTCGCTCCAAGGCGTGGCAGAGGAGTTCTGAATGCCGCTGCATTGGCAGGCGCTAGGATTCCGTTGTGTGGCTCGTGCAACATGCAGATCAGGTAGAAGAAGTGTTTTGGTGTTGCTTGAGAAGTGGTTTGCTGATGAAGGATTTGTTTCAACTAACAGAAATAACATTTTTACTAGTGTAGCTAGCGAGTTTTCCCTCCTCGGACGGCAGGCGCTGTATTGAACATAGTGCATTATAATGCTGTTTTCATCGATCATGATACTGATGGAAATACTACGGAAAGCCAAATAAATATACCAGGTTTTTAATACTAGAAAGTATTAATTAGGTATTAATTATTAATACAGATAAAGCCAAATGCATCTTGCAGAACAACATCACAGTTACAATAATTCACTGGAAAGAATACCAAACATAAAACTTGTAGGTCTAATAATGAATGAATATTTGTGCTGGAAACAGCACAATGTGAATGAATTCATCATTTTTTGCTCTGAGAAACTTAAAATTCATACTTATTAAACGTCCACTACTGTGTATATGTAACGCGACGATCAAAACTTCTCGCCACTTCCTCGCGTATACGGTTGCCGCATAATTCTACCAATCAGAAACGTACAACTTTGAATTACAAATGGTTAGATGGAAAAATTGTATGATAGCGCCTGTCAGCAGTTTTTTGTAGTTTGCCCGCGGCAGAACTTGAGAGCTGCTGTCACCAAAAATGTCTATACCTTTGATAACAAGTAATTATGGACTCCTAGGAAATCAAAAAACGACGGTAAATTATTTTTCTGATTCTATATATATATATGGCGAGTTTCTGCAACCTAAGGTCGCTTCTCGCAACCCATACGCCATCGTATCCTATCGTTCCAGTCTCCTTCATGTAGTCCTCTACTTTCCATTGCGGTATGGATGTTTGAAATCCATTTCCTTCGTGGTCTTCCTCGTTTATTTCTTTGTGCTGGTGTCCATTTCCAAACCCTTAATGGTATCCTTTCTTCGTTCATTCGTTGCAGGTGTCCATACCATTTTAACTGCCTCTCTGTTATATCGTCCATTATTGTATTTTCGACTTCCATTCTTTCTCTGATGGTCTCATTTCTAACATGGTCAAGTAAAGTTAAACCGGAACATCTTCTCCAGTACATCATTTCGGTTGAGAGAAGCTTTTGTGACATATTTTTATCTACAACCCACGCTTCTGACCCATACGTCAGTACTGGCTGAATCATAGCCTGATATATAATTTTTTTTGTTTTCTTTGTTAGGTTCTTACTCCACAAGATCAGAGGTAGAGCTTTAATCATATTTTTTCCTTTTCCTATTTTCCTTAGTATGTCTTTATTATCCTTTCCGCTTTCATCTATTGTAACTCCTAGGTTCTGGTACTGTCCGACGTTTTCTATTTTTCCGCTTTTTGTTTCGATGTCTTGTCCCGTGCCTCCTATAGTCATGTATTGTGTCTTTTGTATATTTATCTCCAAACCCCATTTAGTGAATTCTTCTATAAGTTTGTTTATCATGTAAGTCATCTCTTGCTGGTCTTCTGCAAAGACTACCTGATCATCTGCGAAGAGGATTGTATACAAGTGAAAGTCCTCTAACCATATCCCCATGGGGCTGCACTTTCTTATCCACTGTTTTAAAGCGCTGCAGAGATAAATTTTAAACAGGGTTGGAGAGAGGCAGGAGCCCTGCTTAACACCTTTTGTTTGTGGGAAAGCGTCAGAAATTTGATTTCCGACTTTAACGACCACTTGATTTTCTCTATACATTGCTTTTACGGCGTTTATGTATTTGCTATTTATGCCTGCTTCATTCATTGCGATCCACAATTTCTGCAAAGGGACGGAGTCGAATGCTTTGCGGAGATCTATAAAAGTAGCGTGTAGCTCCATTCCTCTTGCTAATCTCTTTTCTGTCAGTTGTTTTATTGTAAATATGTTGTCGACACAGGATCGCCCAGGTCGAAATCCACTTTGTTCTTCAATTTCCGTGGCTTCGTCTTCTATTCGGGCTGTTAGGACTCTTTCGTACAGCTTTCCGATGGACGATGTAATATTAATACCCCGATAATTACTACAGTCACTCCTGTTTCCCTTTTTATAAATGGAATTTATGTAAGAGCTCCTCCAATCTCTGGGAATCGTTTCCCCTTCCAGGCACTTGTTAAAAATTACGCAAAGTAGCTCGTGCGTTCTTGTGGTGGCGTGTTTAATTAACTCGATAGGCAAATCCCCCAGTCCCGGAGCTTTATTATTTTTCATTTTTTGTAATGCTGTTTTTATTTCTTCTAATTGAATGGTATCTACTCTGTTAACTCCCGTTTGATCTATATCTAGTTGCGTGTCTAAATACTCTCCACGTTGTTCTGCCAGTAGATTATTGTAGTAGTCTTTCCACTATTCTATTTTTATGGGATTTATTTTTCTTCTTTCATTCGTGTTTGTTTTAAGACCATTTATAGTTCGCCAAGCTCTTCTAGATCTAGATCCTCCTATCATTGAGCTAATTTCAGCACATTTGGTTTCCCATGTCTTGTTTTTTATTTTTTTAATTTCTTTTTTTACTATATATTTAAAACGATTATAGCTTTTTCGATCTTCATCGTCTTTTGTAGTTAACCATTTAAGATATAAGTTTTTCTTTTCTTCTACCAGTTGGGTTAAATCGTCCGTCCACCAAGAATTTTTGTGTTCCGTTCTATCTTTAACACCAAGGGCTTCTAGTGCTGCTTCGTGAATTTTGTGTTTCAAAGTTTCATACATTTCTTCTGCCTTGCCGTTAATATCTTCGTCCAGTTTTTGTGCTAAACGTAGTTTGTAAAGGAAACTGGTGGATTCATCCCTTAAGCTGTCTATGTTATATCGCTTTGTGGGTCTTCCATTGTTATTTTGTTCTTGATATATGAGATGTTTATTGTAAGTAATTTCAATGGGTGCTTTTACTAGCAGGTGATCTGAACCGCACTCAGCTCCTCTCCAAACTTTTACATCATAGGATATTATGGAAGTGTCCTGCTTAATCACGACATAGTCAATAATTGATTTCAAGTTTTTTGTTTTTTGAGTCCAAGTATATTTGTGTATGTCTTTGTGTTGGAAAAATCCGTTTAAGATTCTTAACTAGTGTTGTTCACAAAGCTCTATCCATCTGGTTCCGTTTTCATTGACTACTTCCTCTCCGTGTTGTCCAATTATTTTACTGTCAAGAGCTTTGCCCACTCTTCCGTTCAGGTCGCCTATCAAGACTATTTCTTGTCTATTTTTCATCTTATCTAATTCCTCAGAGAGTTTGTCAAAAAATTTGTCTTTTGTGTTTGTATCTGAGTCGTCTGTGGGCGCGTAGATACCGAATATTTTAATTTCTCTTCCTTTTATTTTCATGTCAACCGTTATGATCCTTTCGTCAACTGGGTTCCAGTCCATTATGAACTTCTCCATGACCTTTTTTATTGCAATAGCTACACCAGCTTTGGCCCGTTTCGATTTTTCTACTCCACTCCAAAAGCATATGTACTCATCTTTGTAGCTGTTTCCTTGTCCTTTCTTCTTTGTTTCGCTGAGTACTGCTATGTCGATGTCGTATGTGTGGAGTTCTCTAAATACTTGATCATCTTTAGTGTTTAGTCATTGTATATTCCAGCATCCAATATTCGTTAACCGTTTTCTTTGCTTTTGTCGTTTTCCGTGTAATCCGTCCGAATTCCGAGGCTGCTGTATGGGTTTTTTAGCAATGCTTTTTTTTCCACAGAGCGGGGAGCCAACCCGCCGCTACAACCCTCCTCCTTTATCCGGGCTTGGGACCGGCACTGGCAGTCACTGAGCTACTTTCTGATTCTGTTGTCAATAATTGTAGGCTATGTGTATGCAGAATAATCTGAAATAGTCTTGACAAACACTATTCGGGTATCTAATTTTTTCCTGTGAAAAAAATCGAAAAATACAATGCAAAGTAATAATACTTAGCAACGTGTTCTTTCGATCTTTTCGGAAAAATTAGGTGCTCTTACGATATTATTTATGAAAAAATACTAACGTTAACGTCATTACTACTTCTAGAGGCGTGCTTCCGTCTGAAATGATATCCTTCCACTTACCGAAAAGAGTCGCAGAAATACAATTTAAGGAATAATTGTTAAGCGTTACATTGAACAACTATACCCTCAGCACATACGGTAATAGCGCTGTTTACGTATGTAGATCTATCTTCAATAATTTGCCCTCCAAATTGAAAACCATTAACGACTTAAAAGTCTTCAAAAAACAACTTTTAACGTGTTTGTACCCTAAGTGTTTTTATTCTCTGCAAGAGTTTTCTAATTCTTAGTAATTATATATTTATCTATTTTATTGATTATTTTAATGATTATACATTTATGCTGCACACTTTCTCTATTCTTCTATTTAACTACTTATACTTCTAAACAAACATAATTCTTTGCTACTTATTTTATATTTTGTTATCACCTATTTTATTTTAATTTAGTCATGTATCTTTTTCTTACGTAAATCTAACACTTGCCTATTGACGTTGGATATTCGCAAAGGGATTTGAATAAAGTTATTATTAGTATTCTGCAGTCTCAATTCGGGTAAAATGGCATATATGAGAATATTGTCTAGTCTGTTTTTTCTTTGTTTACTCTAGTAACCCCGGTGTTTCAATTCGGGTGAAAGTTATGTACGTAACTATTCGGGAATATTGTCCAATAAATTTTTTTTTGTTTACTTTGAAATTTCAGCTGTTTTTTGGAATAATAATTTGTTGTATGTTGAGATCTTGGTAAAGTCATTGTCCATTGATTTACTTTCTTCTTAATTAGTCCGTGAGCTTATTTCTTGTAATTCTTCAGGGATCAACTATGGCATCCAGGTCCCAAAAAGCTATAGGACCTTTGTAAGTCATATTTACGGGTTTTTTGGACTTGGGACAAGATTTTATCCAAGTTTTGTGCTTGTATAAGTATAATTGACGAACACCAAAAATACTTGATTCTTGGAACAATCACTCTGTTGGATATATAGACATCTTCTTTATAGTGAACTTTTGTACTATTTCCAAGCTTTAAAGATGTGTGATATT